GACCGACGGACCGCCAGGGTGATTACAATATACGCTCAATATATATTTGTGTATGTATAAAAATGCGGCCTTAGAAGTTGACAAATTTAGCTGCAATTGTCATTTTTGTCGTTTAGACAATTTCTTTTTCCATAATTTCATTAAATAGTTATATAATTTCATTTTCAGAAGTAAACCATAATATTTCCAGTTTTCGTATATTTGGATTTCGCAATGTAGGACACTATTTGCAAAGTAGTAAGATTTTCCCTGTGAATTGCTATTAAACAAATAATTATTACACTGAATGCATGGTGTCACATTATAAATACACATAGGTTTTCAGTTAGTACTTTGAATAAATCTATTTAAAGATATGACAAATAATATGAACATAATCATAATGTTGTGGAGAAATTATTTTATTCCTTTGTGTATGTTTGAAGAGTCCGATAAGGGTTCAATTTTGAACATTTGAGTTAATGTCCGTTACTTAGCAGAAATAAGCTTATGTACGGGATGGAGACCCCTTTGTGATAATTCGATTTCGACGAGCGATTTTCTAAAAGTTATTTAAGAAATAAACAGCTTTGATTCAATTTGGTATGCAGTTACCAAAAAGGGAAAGAGAGCAAAAACGGGCTACTCAGAAAGACGTATTCGGTGTGTGAACGTTGCCAGTACAGTTTAATTCCAGTGTTTTTTTTTTTTTGAAGAATAAAGTATAATTAATTTAATTTAAAGCAATACCTTAATACCTTCCTCTTTAAAACTGTGACCAAACCCCGAATAAATTGTGTTCGACTGCGAGGTTAGTACGGTACAAATTCAGTTTTCAAACTAAATTCTTGCAGAAAAAAAGAAAACTTATAATATTCTTTTACAGAAATGAAATCGAGCTTGTCGTATGATGAAAAAGAAAATCATTTTAAATCGGAATTTCTATTAGAGAAATTTGTGTCAGCTAAATATGACCCTGATTTGTCCCATTTATAAATATAATTCTTTGCATTGTTTATATTGTTATTCTATATTATGACCTCTACAAACTACCACGAAACGAATATAAAGTGGCTCTTTACATATTTGATGTTTATGTAATCATAAATGTAATTTTCTAGTAAGTAGCATAAAATAAAATATTATCAAAAATGCATTATTATGTGTTCATACCAGAAAATGATTACTTTTAAAGCCTTGTTACATTGGACAGATTATTTCATGATTAAATAAATTGCCAGTGAAACTTCATCAAAGGGACATTCCATTTTTGTGTTCTAATTTGTGAAAACTATACCAAAAAAATCTAGAGAATATTGTGTCTGTTAACGTTTCTGAAAATTTTAAGTAAAAACTTCTAGCTCTTAATTTTCTAACGCCAAAACTATTGCTAAAAAAGCTAAAAAGTTTACGTAAGTTATCTATACTGCCCCTTTAATTGGATGGCCTTTAAGTGTATTTTTTACTTCCGATTTCAAGGGAAATATTCGGCCTTGAATTGTCTATTTCAAACACGCATCATGTGATGCCTGAATAAACTTTCTGTAAAAAACACAAATATTTCCTTGTGCGATAGGAATTTTCTTTCTTATGGATGAATCACAGGGAGTACTTTACCAGACAGATGAACAACTTACAGAGCGTTATCAAGAAGTCCGATGAAAGTTACCATTCTAACAAAATATTTTGAACTTAGAGTAAAGTAAAGTAAGTTTGCAACTTTTGTTAATTTGATATACGAATTTGATATTTCCATATAAAAAAATGGATCATGACAGGAGTTTTCTTTAAGAAACGATTGCTTCTCTTCTAAAACATTTTAAAGATTCCAAGAGAAAATATAACATAATCTGGTTTTTTTTAATTTTAAAATCTGTTAAGTCGAAACAAATGTCTCTTGAGTTAAATAATAGCATTTAAAATGTTTTAGCCTAAAAGTTTCATGCATATTGTTGTTGGGTCATGGATTTTCTGGCATCGTCTGCAAAAAGTATAAAGTTTGAATTAATGTTTTCGATTATATCATTAATGTTAATCAGAAATAAAAGTTGTCCGAGGTCAGATCCCTGTGGAACGCCAGCTGGGACACCTCTGGCATCCGAGGAGAATTTCTATCGTGTAAATAGCTCTGGAACCAGTTGAGGAGTTCTCCACAGATTCCAGCTGCTCCCAGCTTGTGACAGAGACCACAATGTCAGACTCTATCAAAAGCCTTGATGGCGTCACAGAACACGACACAAAAGTGCGTTAAGTCTTTTATTTGATAGTTGTAGATTCACCGTGCAGAAAACTTTCTGTAGTTATATTATGACTCCTTCCTTCTTAGGAGTTTGAAAGTGAAAAGACAAATTTCACAGTTTATATATAGCCTAGCTCATCCTCACCAATCCACACAACTAGGGTATAAAAACAACATAATATATACAGTACATGTCAAATTATATACAGGCGTATAATATAATAGAGTTTATGTTATTCTTACACCATATTTACCGGGGCGTTTCTTTTGAAATTGAATTCATATTGAAAAGGGTCTCACTACAAGTTGATATATTTCCTAGAAATCATTGGGAGCTGTTTTCGACTAGAAAATTTTCTGACTGATATCTACATTCCAATACACTTCTGCATAATGTGGGAATGGAGATTATCATACCGTTTTTTCACCAATATAAATTTATCCAGAAAAAGGGTTTAATTGTTTTGTACCAACTGCGCCTTTTGTGTATTTCTTCTGTCTCAATGGTGCATTAAGCGTATTTTTTCGTTCTCGATTGTGCATAATGTGATATTTTTCTGACGTCCATGTGTTTTGTTTCTTTTGTTCATGTGCATTATGACTATTATTTTTCCTATATTAAGACCACGATTGTTCGTTTTCTGATTATAATTAAACTTTTACCCCTTTCGCATTCCAAAGGTAATTGGTTCTATCAAGTTTTATCAAAATAACTTCCATTTGCTTTCGCACTGGCACATAAACTTACTCACTGTAACCAGAAGTTATAGAAAAATCTACTATTCAGATAAGGGACTGTGCGCAACAAATCACGACAATGCATGGGAAGGGAAAACGGATAACTATTGTTATATTATTATATTCATATTTCAAAATGATAAAAATTGTATTTCAACTCCGTTTACTGTGACCTGGCGTTGTTACTAAGAATATAAAGATATCTAGATATCTAGACAGTGCGAAAGCGGCTATCTAGATATGATAGCAGTCAGTGACAGCAGCTATCTAGATAGGATAGCAGTGCGAAAGCGGCTATCTAGATAGGATAGCGATGCGAAAGCGGCTATCTAGATATGATAGCAGTGCGAAAGCAAACCGAACCGAATCGAACTGAATCGCCTTTTTCTATTCAGTTATAACCGAAATTCAATAATTTCAGAAATTTAGTTGTGCAGTGCGAAAGGGATATTTGTATCGAAATCGGACAGTTTTATGAAGTTTGAAAAGGTTTATGAGCAGCATTACATGTTATGTCTTTTCTTTTCAGGTCGAGGTACCGGATTGAATTAAAAGAGAGACATCTAGTATGGAAATTCAATATTTAACGTTTGTATTTATAATTGCATTTTTCTGTCAGTCTTACTGTCAAATAGTAAGGAAAGATTGCCCAAAACATTGCCATTGTTACCATTCATTTGCTTCGTGCATCAACAAAACACTAACATACATACCTAGATTTCCAAGTCACATTCGAATATTGGCGTTTATCGGAAACAACCTTAAGGAGTTAACACCGCGGACATTCGAGAATATTACCCACTGTCGGATAGAAAAATTGTTTTTAATGAACAATAATGTGAGTTCAATTGAGAAGAGGTCGGTGCGAAAATTGTCGAATTTGAAACAACTGGATTTATCATACAATGTTTTAAATTCTACATCTTTGTTCAATTTGATGAATGACTTGGAAAATCTTAAACGGATTGACGTTTTAAAGCTTAAAAACATTGGACTAGAAAATGAAATACCAACAGGCTTGTTCCGAGAATTGAACAAAACAAATTTTCTTCTACTCGATCTTTCTGAGAATAAATTAGTGCATTTGAATTTTACTGAACTAAAACCTTTATCACATTTGGCTTCCTTCGCAGTGCGGAAAAATCAGATCACTTTTGTTACCGTGGACCGAATGGAAAGGTTGGAAGAATTCAGCTTGCAAGAAAACGATTTACAAGAACTTCCGAACTTTTGTGAAAGCGACTTCGTGTCATTTCCCAGGTTAAGAAAACTGATCCTTGATACAAATCTTATACAGGAATATGTACCGGACTACTTACAATGTTTACAAAACCTGGTCTCTCTAAACTTAAACTCAAATAAGTTGAGTACAATAGGACCGAATGCTTTTACTGGAATGAAGTCTTTACAAGAATTATATTTTTTCAAGCAACGAGGACGATTTCAAATCAGTGACTACGCATTCAACAATAGTCGCTTGAAAAAAATCGATTTTAACAGCAATTCTTTGGAAATCGAAAAGATTGGAGAACGTGCCTTTGAGGGTTGTGTCAATTTGGAATTCCTGCAACTTTCCGCAAACCATTTATCGGACCATCGTAAAGAGGGATGTGAACGTTTGAATACAATATTGAGCCCATTGAGATCTCTTCGGAGATTGATGCTATCTTACGGTGGATTACATGTCATCCCCAATGTCCTCAGGAACATGTCAACTCTTCAACAAGTTACTTTGTACAATAATAAAATACAATCATGGCCTGATGGATTTTGGGACAAAACTCAATTGTTTGGTCTGGATATTGAATACAATGAATTTCAGACTATAAGCAAGAAAATGTTGGGTTCTACTATTAGAAAAAGGATGCATGATTTTAGAATTGGTCACAATCCTTTCCAATGTAACTGTGAATTGGTTTGGTTAATTGAATGGATACATGAAAAACCAAAAATATTTCAAGACAAGCCTATTGGGTATCATTGTTTAAATATCACAAAGAAAATATGTTTAGAAAATGAGTCTGCATTCCAATGGACCATTGGTATGTGTATTTTTTCAATTGTTACCCTCTTACTTATATCTGTTGTATATAAATACAGATTGGCAATTAAATATCAAATATATATATGGCGACATCCGCGTCCTGAAAGAGGAACTAATTTTGATTATGATTTTTTTGTGTGCTATTCTGTTGACGACGAGGATTGGATATGGGATGAGCTTCAACCTAATTTGGAAGGTGACGAATATATCAAACTTTGTATTCATCAGCGTGATTTTAAAGGCGGTAAACTTATCGTAGATAATATTGTTGAATTGATGGAGTCGAGTCGTCGAGTACTAATCATTTTATCTAATAGTTTTGCAAAGAGTAGTTGGTGCCAGTTTGAACTTTCTGTTGCGCAGGATTTAGTTTTAGACTCGATTTTAGAACCACCAACAATTATTCTGTTAGAAGAAATTAAGACAGAACACTTGTCTAATACCTTAAATGCTCTCATCAACAATACAACTTATGTTCCATGGTCCAATCACACTGATGATTCGTCCGAATTTTGGCAGAGATTAAAACTGGCTATTGGAAATCAAAGAATGGTAGCCAATACAGAAGACGTCTAAAGGGGAAAAATACGTCTTTATATGGTCCCTGTTTTTTAGGTGACGATGAATACACATTTGAAGATACTTGAACAAAATGTGTTTTTGAACAGTTTATTACTGTAATAATAGTTTTTATAGCCATTCTATATCTTTAGACTAATATAATTAATTGTATTTAGTATAGTTGTTTTATTATTTTCTTTGCCAGCTGAAGGAGTGGAACGTTAGAAGTCCATCTCTCATTAACATTCTTGCAGTCAGTAATGTCCGATTACGCCATGATATCATGTGTATATACCGCTTCCCTGGCAAAATTACACCATGATATTGATATACAAGCTTCAAGAATTTGGCATAACTTCCGATTGTTTTTTAATTGCACCATACGTCTTACTGCAATGCTAAAAAGTAATAACGATAGAGAGCATTGAGCTCTAATAGTTAGTAACGCATCTTCCAACAGAAAATAAGTTTTAAGAAAAGGAAAATTGATATATGTTAGTTAACTTTTTTTTGCTTGAAAATCAATATTTTATGCATGATATCGTTTTCTTCTATTTTCATATTTTGTGTGTACAATATATCACTGTTATTTAGTATATTAGTATTATTATGTAGTATGTTTCCATGTTTTGTTTTTGTGTGCATTATAAATTCTAAAACTTATTATTTGTTAATAATATTTATTTAGTATGTTTATTACACACCAATAACACTATGTCTTACAACATTGCTCCGAGGTCAAACTGCTACCAAATTTGCTTTAGGGAAACGGTTGACTTTTACATACATTATATTACGTGCATTCATTATAGCCCAATCTTACATAAAATTTGCAAAAAAAAACAAAATTTTCATAACCACGACTTAATATATCCAACTTACTTCAACACTGTGGTCCTTAGACAGTAAAATTGATAATCAATTCAAATACAACTGAATGTTAATTCAAATCACTTAAGCACAAAGAAATCCCGACCGGGTTATTTGTGGCAAATGAGTTTGTTCTTTTCTACTTATTATGTATTACTCAAAGTGTTCAATGTAATATTAAAAGGTATCAAATAATTCGTCCATGTTTGTCAACAAACTATCTTAATGAACACCACTATCCTGTCTGCCCCCCTTTCTGCTGAGATCACATCTGCAGAAAGTCTCATCGAATAAGGTTATCACAATCATATCAAGGTAAACAACTCTTCTTTGTGTATATATAGGACTCAGACTACTAAAAATTTTATGTAAATGATTGTAGTCCATGTTATTTTTAGAAATCCTCTTTCTCCCTCTTTTTGTGGTTTTTGCATGCATTTTTCGACTAAGTTTTGGTCTAAATTTGGAAATTGATGTCTGATATTGCATTTTCTTTCAGATTTTGTGAGATGAAGAGAGATTTTCATGCGGAAGGATAATTCTAAAAATCCAACATTCACTCGACTGCCACCGCACACAAAACAACTAAAAAGTTTAGTAGTCTGAGTCTGATGAGTATAATTAGCTGCAATGATATAATTAACTCGGACTACATCCCTATATAATCATTTGCATATGCCTAAAATGTTTTAGTGGACTGAGTCCTATATTAACGTTATTCGTTTAGTTAGGTCAAGGGACTTAAATCTAGAAGGTTTAACAAAGAATTACTGACTTAAAACCGCCAACTCGTTCGACAGAATTGATAAAAATCCAATGTTAAATACGAACAGATATGCAATAATATCTTTTCCGTTTTTAAGCTAACGTGACCTAATATTGTGAACTTACATTGTATTGCAAGAACCACAGTCGTCTGGTTGTAAATAGGAATGGTGCAAACTGATGCTATCAGTGTCCCCGATACATACACATAAGGAATTTAGAAAACCTCTTTACAATCTCTTAAATCTTGAAACAGCTGGGATCAGATTCAAAGATTTTGCCCAATACTTTGGTAAGTGACTTATTAAGCCTGCTAAATAACTCCGCGAAAAACTTATGTTTTGATGCTAAAGTGTAACATTGCTGCAGTGTGTTCGTTTTTTGTATCATGCTTGAAAAACTATCTCACAGTTTTTCATGTGTTTGGTTGAAGACTATTCAAATAAATGAATCAGATGTTTGGATAAAAGCTGTATAGGCCTAATGCTTGTTTTTAAGAACATTCTTAGAACAAAGTCTTTGAATGGCATTTAGCAATTGTGAGTACGATATATAGACACAGCTTTATGGAACAACAATCACTGGTTAAAGTTTTATGCAACGTTTCGACGTGTTACCCCCGTCGTCCTCAGGCACATAATGAGAAGAAGTGATAGGCGAACTATATATACATTAATGCTTATTATTAAGAACACACAAGAGATAAATGGTTTATTGATACATTACATTAAATTTTAACAGGTACAATAAGAGGTACATAATTCTTAAAATAACATTAAGGCTGATTAAGTAAAATAATAGAAATAGAGTAAATGAATTGAAAAAGATTAATTAAAGTCTTTTATTGATGGAAATTAAAGTTAAAAGTTGAAATATTTTATTAAATTGAATACATTTATGAATATGAAAAATTACAAGTATATAAGTTTATCATATCCATACCATAAACGAACACCTTCATCTCTGTTAAGGTCAGGCTGATATCTTCTGATGTGGATAGCTTCATGAAGTCTCCTGGTTTTATCTATGTCGATGATATTTCAATGAACAGTTTTCAGTTATTTTAAACTTGAATACAGTTTTCATTAGATGTGGTCGAAACATACATACATGTATTTGGATTGTTGAAATCTATTACAAGTTCAATAAAATATTCTTAAATTCTTGTCAAGAAAAAAATATTTTTTATTGCTGTCTGTGGCGTAGGTTTATATTATCTTCGCTGTCAGACAATTTTTTTTTACCTGTAACAAGAATAGTTGACTTTTAAACTTAGCACTGCTATTTTCCTTCGATGAAAACTTGAATTCTTTAAATTCAACAAATATTCTCCAATTTCACTATTGTGGTAAAATTGAATTTTCTTTATTCACATTGTAGTAAATATTTACTTTCCCATGTTTAATTTTTCAAAACCTTTTGAAATTTGCTGTGTACTTTGGGAGGAGGAAATACAATTATGCCCTCTTGTGAAACGTAAAATATATAATGTTAAATATTAGAAAATAGACAACTATTCAGTATATATATGGAGAGGAAAGATTGTATAACAATTTACAGTACATATTTTCCCCATGAATTTAAACATAAATCACAGTATGTAAGGTCTGTAAATCAAAGTCAAGAGAAATTAAATTACATTTGGCCACAACTTTATTACAGCAGTGGTAACAGCGCTGAGTTCTGATTATACATTGTATGTATAATATGACAGAATTACTGTAGCAACAATTTGGTCCAAACAGCCAAATCGGGATTCTAGACCGAAACCAAGATAAAAGTTTTTGTACATACCAGCATCGAGTAAGTCTTAAAAACCCGACTATTCGGTTCTACATTTGTCCACCCGGTTTCCCCATTTCAGAGATGCAGAGGCTGAAATGAAAAAGCACAATAAACCGAGGCTCTTTGTGCTACCAATTGTGCACGTTAACATCCTTCGAATGTTGGGAATCGAACATATCAGGCACTGTCTAAATAGATTTGTCTCCAATTAACAATGCATGTCGTTGTCCATCATTAAATGTCGAATCGAGGACAGGTTTATCAACTACTGTATCGATATTTCGGTCTAAATGCATGAAAAAGTTGTCCTTTACATTTATCAAATGATAATATTATTGAACATGTTGTGGCTTTAATGACACGACTATTTAAAAGGGAAAGTATTCATTCAAAGACATAATACACACAAAAAATCAGATATATCCGTAATCAATTATTATCAACAGAAATCACAATAAATGTGTATAGATTAAGGTAAGTGAATATACTAAGAAACGTGCATTCTCGATACTTAATCTTGCATGACCAATTTTGAAAATACGGCTATTGAGCTTAAAACACTTCCCCAAATTATCTGTCTAGTTCAGTTAGTTACGTCTACGTCTTAAAATGAACATAAATTTAAGTTCTCAAGAATGGTCGATATGAGTATATATTCATCAGTGAACTTACCTGGTGTCATAAAGTTACAACAAAATCCCTGTAAAATCTGGAAAATTGGAAAATTCATAAAACTAAGTAATAATTGCAAAACGCCTAATCATAATATTAAGCGTTTTTCAATAGTTAATTGCATATTTATGGAGTTTTTTGGGATTTATCGGATTATATATGGATCCTGTTATTTTATTTATTGGCCAAGTTTAAAATTCTTAAATTTTATGTTCATTTAAAGACGTAGTTTTTCTTTAAGAAATAATGTGAACTATAATGAAATGATTTTGTAGTCCCGATGTAATTTCAGACTCATTAAAAATTGAGGCGGTTTAATTATTTATGAATGTAGTCCGCATTGTCAGTTAATTAGCTTAAGTACATACACTTGATCTACTAATTGTTACCTTTAAGATTTCCCGAGGAGGAAAACGACTTCCAAACTCTTTTCTAGTTCTAACTAAACTCTAAAAGATATCCGCAAAATACTGGCAATTTTTTCAAAAATAAAGATTTTAATGCTGTAGCTTAGGAAACACAATGGTTATTCCGATTATCTTGATATTAACTTGAAACTGGATTATGTCATTTATTATATCATTGGATTATAGTTCATTTAATCAGCTTTATACCCCGACCATGTGTCCATTAACAAGTAATTGTTTACACCGGTTTTGGTGAATCTATATCACAAGTGTGTTGAACTGCATCGTGAAAGGTTTTAAGGATATTGAAGACAATTGTAAGTTTTAATACATTTTTTTGGTCGTAACTTTTGGTCTTAATTTCCTAGGACGCACTGTGAAAGGATATCATATGTTTTATTGATATCTGAAGGAAAGCGTAGGTTGAAAATCAGTTTTGGAATGATTTTGTTAAGCGTTAGTTAACTCGTCACAAATAGAGTCCGATCATTTTGTTTTTCTTCTCTTGAAACAATTGAATTGAGTCCGAAACATTTTCATGCGTTCTGATGAACACTGTCACAATTGTATTTGTCATCGATATTCATAGCTTACTATGATTTCCTCTCATTAATTATAATTCTACAGTCAATTTGTTATATATCCCAATCATTAAGTTTTTTTTATTGACCAAACGAAATATTTCGAATTTCGACCCTTCTTGAACTACACGTAAGTTATTTGTCTGTGAATGTTCATGTGCTCGTAGGAATTGTGATTTTCTTGTTATTGAATCTGTTGTAAATAGAAGACACCACAGATACCGTTATCAACCCCCTTCCCCCACAAAATGACATCATAACCACGATATACCAGAACCAAGTCCCATTACTGTTTGGAATTCACGAATTTTGGATCCGGATGTTGGAAACCAGCCTATTTTGATATCACACGGGAATTATGTTTGACGACTCAGTGAGCTATTTAGTTGCGGTAATATCGATCAGCAAAAAATAAGAGGAGGGTACTGTAACGGTTTGATCATCATCGCTAAATATAACAACCGTCCAGATTGCTTAAAGGATTCCATTCTCGTAATAACAGCTACTCGTCTACTTGAAGTACAGCTTGAATTATTATAACTTAGGACGAAATTGAGTTCGACTTGATACCTCTAATACTGTCTCTAAATACTGTCGGTAAATCGATTTTAAACGAATATGCAAAAGAGATAGTAATAATAGAGAACTTGTCGTTGATAACAATATAGACTCTAGGTCATCAACATAAGAACAATCTAAATTCTAGAATTATTGTCTAAAGATATAATAATTACATGGCTAGAAATGACAACAAACCTAAATTGAAAATATTTTGTAAAACAATCCCTTTAATAGGGCACGGTCAAGAGAAATACCCCCACTGGCTTGCCAACATTTTCAGAATTCCCCCTTAAAATAAACATTAGACTATTTCACGTTAGACCTGAATTGATTTTCGACTTTGTATATTGAAAGAAATCCCACTTATTGTCCTGGCTATATTGACTCGGTTTCGATTAAAAGTACTATATAACACGAATTCTATTGACAAATTTTGTCCTTGTCAGATACTAACACTGTGAGCTATTGGATTCTATTTAAAATGGTGATATACTAACTTACAAGGTAAATCAGTTCTTTTTGAACATTTATTAACTGTTTTTAGCATAAATATTAGTGAATACAGAATACAGATACATTGAATTACGTTGTATGTTCAAGCACAATTTAGAGGGTCTTGTATACTTACTATTTCCTGTAATTTGACAAATATGTTTTTAGTCATATAATTATGAAAGGGCATTTTCAACTTAACAGAATGTCTTTGGCAATGTTAATAATATTTTTTTATGAAATATAAAAATGAAAATTTTAATATACAAACGTCTTCGTCTGTGGTTTCAATTGCTAGAAAGAAAGGATGTTTGATATCACAGCAATTAAATATTATTTTAAATCCATGTGTGTTCAGAATTATCCGCATTTGAATGTGAAAATGGCGACTCGTCTTTTCTGGAGACTCTAAAATATAGAATATACACGAATAGAAATAGAAAGTGAAATTACTAGTTCGTGGTATTTTGAAGGAATAATGCGATTTTTGTACATTTCTAGTAGTTTTGAAGACTATTTACGTAAAAATTCAAGACCCAAATCAACCCCAGAAAATGGCGAACTTGTCACTTGAACAGTTCTATGGTTCTGTGGATTGAAAGAGTGTTTTCATTGACCGGAAGAATAATTTTGTATAGATAATTATTTCGATATCTTGTTGGACTTATGCCTATCGCGATGTAGAAAATATTTATATATCGAAGTGGACAACATGATAAAAGAACTACGCATGGTATAACAGTATCATCAAATTATTTTTATTTTTTCTATGTAGTTTTTAAAACCGTGCACTTATGAACTTTGACTTTATCGTTGAACAGATTCAGATAGTAGAAAGATTTTTTTCCATTCACTATTTTCTATAGTGATAAAACATAGGTAATTTCGAGCGTTCTTATTAAAGTTATGTCCGTGTTATTAATCTTAAAAATATCTATTGACTTATCGGCTAAATATGTCTAAAGCCACACGATGTAAAATAGTTTAAATTGCGAATCTTTACCAAAAATAGATCCGAAATACTCAGTTTATAAAATGCTTTGGACATTCGCCCCTGGCAGGTCTGATGAATTTACAAGCATGTAATGTTCAGACACACACACACTAGGGTATTTTTGGTACGTCCAATCTGGAAACGTTGCACAGATAGAACTTTTCGAATGACACCGAACTTTGGTGAACAAATTGTGGCTTAATTATGGTGCCCAGAAAGCCAATCAGTATCCCAAAAAGACGTATATCATATAGACATGTATAAATAATATAATGTGACTTTAATTTATTGACCACGTTCATATTAAAGGTAAAACTATTCAATCAATCAAAGTTGTTATGACTGATTCCATAACACACCATATATTATAACCATTAAGCGATATAATATACGTACATATACAATATTAATACGCGATATATATGACATAAGTGTAGGATATTAATATCGTCTTATGAAATATCTTCTGAGGAATTTACAGCTTTAATTGTTACTGGTGGTTTTGATTTCATATCGGATAAGATTTAACGCATAAAGGTTAGTCACGGCGTTTGATTATGAAAAGATATTTTCAAATATCAATTTCATGAATGTTATCCGCATTGTTTGCAACTAACAATAACATACACTATCAGATTTTAAGGCTTTATATATTTTCAATATCCGAAATAATGCATGAGGTATGTTATTTAAAAAGGTTTTTGTGGCAAGGCTAACCAAATACTTTATCTTGTATTAAGGAAATAATGTGCTATAAAAAATACGGTAAGAAAGAATATATTTATTAACATATAATATGAGTGGTTTTTTTTAATAACGTTTCTGTTATGGTGTGTAACATTTCTGTTAACTAAAACGCAGATATTTTAAACATAAATAATTTACTGTTTCCATATGAATATAATTTCTAGTATTTAGACTTATTCTTTCCTAATTATATATTAAGATACCACGTAGTTGATGGGCCAAAAGGCCAAAAAACTTGTTGCAAATTCCATGTCAGTTTTCCAAATGTATCATAGTCACAAACATCTTTGTTAAAAAATCTTTTCGAAAATAAAGTGACGTCCGAGATTCCATGTCATTAAAGGTCCGATCATTTTGAGGTGGTTGAATTTAAGACCTGTGTTTGAATTGTATTCGTTACACAGACCATTGCGTGGAGATAAACAAAGCTGCATAACTAAAATTCATCATATCTATTTATTAAAATTTGGATTATATTTCATAGATTTATTTAGATATAATCAACAAATTCAACATTTTATAATAATATTTGAGATCAATACACCAGAATGCAAACGATGACGACACAGACATTTTCTTTATTGATACATGTCTCAGTGTTTTCCTATATTATTGGTATTTGATGTTGATACACAGAGGGCCACTATTGGCTTCAATAGAAACTTTGATCAAATACAAAAGAATGTATGTATGTAGCCTGATACAGTTTGCACGGATTTCGTTGTTCTTGTACTATGGGATCAATAAAATTCCAATGAAATTCCACGAGTAATTACATAATTATGCAGCGGCTCAACTAGATTAGTGAAGGGCCGTGGACTTAAATGGTGGTTGGGACCCCTATCCCGGGAATTTCTTTTAATTATCTGATCCCCTTCTGAGACCTTGATTCACTTAAATAACGTTGCGCTTGGTAGTGCCCCAACATAGGTTGTGAACCATTTTATATTTTGTAGGCTATACCTTTTGGATACTTTGGTATTAAATTTTGTATTTTTTGCTGGATGGGGCCTGTAGTTGAGCCACTGTTATTATTTGATACCTTTTAACATTTAATATTATGTTTTTCAGAAATAAAAGATGTCTATCTGGAAGTGTTTTTGCCTTCCACACAGAAAACCAAGATTAAGGAACGAGAGGGGGCGGAAATGGCAAAATATGACTAACCAACCTATATCAGCTAAAAGCAGCAGTAGAAGTAAGCTATTACAGTACAATGATCGTGAATATTTGGACCACGATGTCCTCACAAGTCGCGTAGAAGACGATACATGGACTCGACTTGAAAGTCAACCAGGTGTGAAAAAGCGCCGCGGTTTGGATGAAATATTTGAACGACCTAAATCGGAAATGCTTAAAAGCTCTGCGGATCCTTTAGACTTCAAAAACGTTGGTTACCCAACTATGTTTTCCGGACAATTAGAAAGTATGTATGGATACACACCTAGAGCAGTACAAGACGTTTATGCCTCTTCAGCCTTGGAAGGTGGATCAATCGAAGATTATTTTACAGACGCTCGTAATGAATCGGTTCTCAAAAAGTTTGCTTCTGCTGAAAGTTGCAATGGCATTGCAGATCGTGATAATACCCAGGTACACTCGGTGCGCACACGATCCGATTCTAGACATAAATACATGATCAACAGCGACGGAGATTATTCTTCAGATTCTGATATGGATGATTTAGATTATTGTGATACATTTCCAAACATTGGGTTTGAAACTACAAATGACATTTTCCATGTGCAGCCCTTCCCACCAACTACGAACACTGCAACACCATATTTGTGTCGATCAGAAGATCGTAATTTTCAAAATCAACATTTCGATGAGATATTTGGAAGTGATGAAGTTTTATATTGAGACGATTAGATTGTGTTTTGGGATGCGCAAGCGATTAAAAGTCCTAAATGGTATTCTTTTCAAATAAAAGCTCCATCCGGTGAAACATGTGGATTGATAAGATAACATAGAAAACAATCCGTTAAAATAGAATCGAGCAATCAAAAACTATTCTGACGAATAATGTGATCCATTTTGGTCAATACTAAATGTATTTATAACAACCCATGAACGTCAAAATGTTAAAATCAACGCGAGGCTTCGTGCATTTATATATCATAATGCAGAAAGATCCTCATTTCGCATTAGACATTAATCATAAAACGCTTGTGGTGTTTCGAAATTACTATGTCAGGTTAGCTATAAATGATTAATCTGCATTCTTTACATAATTTCTTAACCTTGATTTTTCGTTTTCGTTTCTCTCTGTTTAAGAAAAGGAAATGCCAAAATGTTTCTGCTTTGATACATATATATATAGCTGTACAGGTTGTCCAACTGAATCGCAAAGTTCTTTAAATTGAATACTATTTTGAAATTAATTCGTGCATTTAGAGAATTTTATTGGTCTCTTTAAATTGACACAAAATAAAAGAAAATGGATAAAATATGTCAAATTCGTTCATTCTAACGAAAACAGTTTCGTTGAATATTTACGAAGCACCACATTTGGTGTGAGAGTATAACTTCGATTATGTATTGCTTGTGAATTAAGTCTTACGACTTGCTAATCGGTAGCAAAAATAATTTCGTAGTTTTATCTGTTAGAGGTTCGAAAAAATATGAAACATGAAAGACTGGCCACAATCAGTGGCATTTGGTAATATCATTTTTGTTTCCGAGCCTGTCTTCCCCTTTCTTTTTCATTTATTTTCGTACTTTTTCGTTTCTTTCGTTCTATTTCTTATGTTAACTTTATGTAGAAAATGATTTTTTGTGGGGAAATAAAAGATCAAACATATTTACTTTATGGGGTCGATCAAGTAATAAAAATATACTGTTATTGTCCAGATGATTAACGCCACGCCATGCAATAAATACCTTGACAAATAGGTCTCATACGAAACTTGTATGGTTCTTAGATGGAAATAACACACACGAACATACCACTTTGAATTACCTCGTGGACTTAATAAGTCTGATTTGAAGGCTTAGTTGAAAGATGATAACTTTATCGAAATTAAAAAAAACTACGTTTGTGTGTGTTATTTCCATGTTAGAACCATACATAGATTCGTATGGAATAGTTCTAACTCTTTCATTAACCAAATATGGAGCAAAAAGAAGGATGGAAGACCCCATATCAATTTGAAAAAGTAAATCGTGTTCTTTTCTACTTTTTCGGTTCGACCCCCACTGTCTTGAAATGGATATGCATTGTGACAAGAGTTGTCTTTCCAGGATTACTACAATTACTTCAATGACCACAAATTGTAAAAACCGATGTAATCATTTGAACTAAACTTGATTTATTGAAGTGCTCGAAATTTAATATAGTTTATTGGAGACCACATTGGTTGAATTATGAATTATTTAAAGTTCGAAGTCAATGTATATCGAATGCGATCCCAGAACAAACGATCGTCAGCTTTGATATAAGTCCTTGTCTTCAAACAACGTTTTAAATCTGGGTCTATATTGGTCATATTAATATCTTCCAATAACACTATAATCATATGTCGTCTGTTCCCACTAACGCTTTCACTAAGAGCAGTGCGAAATTCGAATTGACGCCATTCACTTCTCAAGAAATTATTAGACAGAATCAATATTGTATGACGGCTATTTTCTACACATGCAACAATCTGTTCACTAGTTGAGGATCCAATTAAACAGTCACGATCGCGAATACAGAGTTTTAATTGATAGCCCAATGTTTCGTGCTCTAGGCGTGGTAAAAGGGTTTGGGTAACCCATTCTGAATCTTCCTGGCTGTAACTAATAAACGCATCGTATAGCTTACTGTCCGTAATTGGTGTCTTACCACAGGGAAGAAAAACGTATATCCTGGCGTGTATCAAAATACGAATATCCTTGCGATACCGAGTCAATAGAATAACTATTATGAGCAAAATGAAGACAATAATCGACAAGGCGGATATTAACGCTATGTTATCATCGGGATCACTATCACAAATATCTTCCATTGATAGAGTAGATATAACTCGTCCATGAAATTTTAAAGGAGTGGCACATTGAAGTTCCCATAGATATCCATAGTCTTTGTTTAGTCCTGCCTCTTTGGGAGCTGTATATGTATGTAGCAAACTGTGAAGTTCCGGTATCGAGTCACATTTGCAGTCAATTTTGTTATCTCTCACATCAATTAAAGCAGATTGTACATCTTTAAAGGATTGGATTTCATTTGCTCCTAATGTGACGATATCGTTAAAACGTAGATCTATATATGCTCTCTTTGTTTTATTGATGGTATAGTCATTGAAAGAAAACCCATTGATAAGGTTATGAGACAAATCAAGTATATGTAACACTGGATTGTGAAGATGCCAGGGTTCTAAATCACGTGGAATCACGGTCTGTTCTGAGAAACTGAGATTCAGTGTTTGTAAATTTGGGAAGATTGTTCTGCCAACGAGCATCTCAAGACTGAATCCCAAACCTGCTTTTACAAGTGTGTTTTCAAAAACTGTCGTTTCTTTAAAGGTACACGACTGTTTGGCATCTACACGAGGGGCTATGGAATCTGGAATGAGAGGAGTAAATTCGGCAGTTACGTTTCGCCAAATAAAACTCTTTATATTCTTAGGACCACATTCGTGGGTGGGCGAAATACGTCTTAGTTTCTGAGTTAATTTCCTCATTTTTACGGAATCAATCTTGAAAACTAAATCAATCAGATGCAAATTTTCCAACATGTCCACTGTTTGGACACTGTCATCTTTCTTAGATAACATATCTTCCACCACACATCCTTCAATATGAAGAGTCTTCATTTTAGAGGACTTAAATGGCCACTGAATCCACAATGAACCACCAACACATACAATATATACATTTGTTGACAAAACATTCTGAAACTCAAGCCATTTTCTAATATACTTAAAATCCAATACTTCACCTTCGTTTAACAAACATACTATTTTAATGGAATGGCCGACACGTATGTTACACACATGTACGATAGTTTCTGGAAGTTCATCAGTGATTATTCCAGATGTCGATTGTGATTGCGATATACTATTTAGTATTATAACTATAAAGACGTTGTATCGGACCACGAAACACATTCTTTAAATAACAACTTGAATAGTTTGTAAATGATATTTCTACTTCATGTCGGTTATAATCATATTGGTTTAGTTTTTACATTTTTTCATTTCAATTTATTTTATCATTTGATCCATCTTTATTATGATCATGATCGAACTTTTATCATCTACGGTTTGAACTAAGCCATTTACTGCTGTTACTGCTGGGTGCGATTGTTCAGTCTATTAATTCAGAACTATAATAATATGTAAAACTGTATAATCTCCTGATGCTACACACCAATCTAGCCAGAATTTTTTATTTATCTTAACTGATTTTTAATTCACATGTCATGAGTATGGTCGAATATATTCCATTTTCATTTCTGAAAATATAGAAAGTAAACAATTTTAAAAAATCTTATGGCACGAATTCACATATCTTGTGAAAATAACTCATTTCTCTCAGGTTCACGTGGATAATTCTTGCAAAAAGCCTTCAAGGAAAATACCAATATGATATAACTTTTTTTATATATATGATTGGTAAACTTTGATTAAAGAATCGAAATTTTCTGACAGTGTGAAATGCATAAGGATTTCTTCGAATTAATTAGTTTTTTAAGTGATTATTAAAGGGGGGCAACTCCATTGATCATAACAAGACAAGGTACAATAATTTAATATTACTAATAAATTATGTTGGTTGGGAGGGGTGGTTCGGAAAGTTAAACACAATTCCATTTATTTTCATTTGGAACACACGACACCGTATTACCCAACCCGAATCAAACTGTTGGTTGTCATGATCTGAATAAGTTTCCAATTTACCACAAAAATACAGTAAAATACTGATTAACTCTACATTTGTGTCTTAGATTCGTAATGTAGGTGTACGGACTGAATTTCTCTATTATACTTTTCCTGGTGCAGATCACTACTCAAGACATCCCACTAAGTTAGCGGGTCACCCAGAAGCGACCTGTGCTCCTTCAGAAATGCTCCTGGTGTAATACCAGCTACCAAAGATCTCCTGGGTAGGTTATTTTCATTTCTCATTACTTTAAGGCATGTACAATTGTAAATGTGATCATAATTTTTAAAAAAGTTTCTTAAAAATGTTCGATTGATTAAATATTTATAAGTATATAAAATTAATATTTAAAATACATTCCGTCTAAAAACATATGCATTTTAATGTTGTAATTTAAGTATTGAGGTTTTACACCACACACACGTATAATGTCTGAAATATATATGACTTTTGTCCCGATATCCAGGCAATTCATCAGGACATTGCCACGTATTAAGAAGTAGGGATTGTCTTTTGATATGAAAATAATCAAGTATAATAGTTCAACAAATTGTGTTTATTTATAATGAAATACAGGAACGGCTTATAACTCAGTTCAAAATCAAATCTTCTCACACAATGAAGTCCTACAAGCATAGGATAATTGTTTTAATCAGCACACCTATGTTAATAACTGTAATATATATGATTTTAAAATTTAAAACAGCAACGTAGACAGTTTCCTAAATAAAAGAGAGGAACAAGAGATGTTAATAAAAGTAGTTACCCCTGATATTATTATAGCTATTACTGAATTTCTCCCAAAGAATAACCCAGGTGATTTAGAAGATAAAGAATTTGACTTAAATGGATATGAAGCACATTCCAATAATACCCACGAGATATCGACTACCTGACCAACCATCAGCTCTAGATCTAGTGTTAATCCAGGAGGAGTACCTAATAACCAACCAGACCAGACTACCAGCCGTTGGAAAAAGTGACCATGTCACAATAACGCTAAACTTTTCCCACAATATGAGTATCCAAGATGAAGATGAAAAAGGCAGGTTCCTCAATTAGCAGACCACTTATGATAATATTCAAGATGTCCCTCATGAAATGTACCTTACCAGACAATTGGAAAGAAGCAAATATAACACCCATATTCAAAAAAGGAAGTAAAAAGCAGACGCCCAATTACAGACCCATCAGCCTAACTAGTGTCATCGGTAAAATAATGGAATCGATCATCAGAAATACTATTATGGAACACCTAATAGCAAACAAATTACTATGTACAGAACAATATGGATTCAGACAAGGCCGTTCCACCACCACGCAACTTTTAGAGGTTCTAGATTACATCACTAACGAAGTCAACAACAATTGCCCAGTAGATGCTATCTATCTATAATTCAGAAAAGCCTTCGATAGGGTTCCTCATCAACGATTGATCATCAAGCTGAAAGCTCTAGGAGTGCCCGGTCACATACTACAATGGATAGAAAGCTTCCTACACAACAGAAAGCAACGAGTGATATTAAACTCTACCAGCTCACCATGGACACAAGTTGAAAGAGGAGTCCCCCAAGGCAGTGTTCTTGGACCGATTTAATTCCTGGTTTATGTCAATGATATACCTAGTCTTGTGGAATCCATGATCATGTTATTTGCACACGATTCCAAACTACTGGGGCATTGCACCAGTACACACGAGAGAAACAGAATCCAGAAGGACATCAATAATTTATTAGAATGGTCAAACACCTGGCAGATGCAAGAGAAGTGCAAAACCCTACACTTCGGATTTACCAACCCTAAAACTAATTACTACCTAACAGACCTAGATGGAACCAAACAAAACCTTTTGAAGTACAAAGAAGAAACTGACCCTGGGGTAACATTTCAAGACAATCTGAAGTTTAGCACACACTTTGCAGGAAAAATAAAAAAAACCAACAGACTTATCGGAATGACCAAAAGATCCTTCACACACCTTGAAAAGGAAATGTTTCTGCCGATCTATAAATCACTGATTCCGTCAAATTGAATAGTTTCGTTTTGTAGTATGAAAATCTACGATCCTTAAATTTAACAATGCTCATTTTAGCGCCTCTTTTTCACTCCGGTATGCCGGTTGGCAGCGGTAGGCGGTTGGCTTTTAAAACCCACCCAAGTAAGAGACTAGAAAAGCAGCAAACAAGATTAGACGTAAGAAAGAACTCCTTCGCCATCAGAGTAGTCAATGACTGGAACGCCCTACCAGGGTATGTTGTAAACTCAACCTCCTTAAACAACTTTAAATCTAATCTAAACTCAGCCTGGAAAAACATTAAATCAAAAATCACTCCAAGTTTTTATCAGTAACAAAAATCATTCCAAAAACTGTTAAAAAGAATAGATAGTACATCTATTGTCTCGTACCCGCTTGCACAGTCGATTGTAAGCTATATTGCAAATCAGGAGGTCAAGAAGCATTTTTGCTTACACGATAGACCGAAGAACAGGTAAAATGAAATCAATGAATAATATAGATAATATAGTTACAAGTTAACTGTCACTGAGAACGAGAACCGAAACTGGTTAGAAAAAAACAGTTCCTGATTGTAACTTCCAAACTGCTGTCAAACCAACAGAGCTCTCAAAACGAACTAAATATTAACAAAAATCTTTATTAGCATCCATGTGATAATTTTTAACAGGAAGTTCTCGTAATTTAGGAACACTAGTCTTTTCCCTCCAGACGTAAATGTCAATACAATAGACAATATAAAAATGCAAGATTATCCAGATTTGGATTTAGACAACAATTATTAATAAAATTGGAATCAGACCACAAACATTTTCTTACATTGAAATAAACTTAAAATGGTAGCCACAACTTTTTCAATTCTTTGAGTTTTATGTGAATTTATTATTTGTAAGGGAGGTTACTCCATTGATTATAGAAAACGTATACGCGCTAATTTTATTGATAGTTTTTGCTAGTTGCCAGGCAAGGAATAGGGTAAGACCCTATATTTTTGTGGTAAATATAAAACATTCAGATGAAAAGTTTAATTTCACTTTTAAAAATAAACATACGATTACGTCCAATGTATACCAGACAGACTTATATAATAATGCCCTTGTGAGTGTTGTATGTAATTTTAAAAATGTACACAACAAACAAGTACATCATAAGTATAAATCTTTAGGCATCATGTATTTTAAATAAATAACTCAGGTTATAAAGATATCACCTATTGAATACTTTAAAGACAATTTTTTATAACCAATATCCACTTTCAACATTAACAACTTTACCCCTATATACTCTCTTGAATGATATCAAACGCCAAGTAGAACCAATAACCACAATTCCCTTTGATAATGCTTTATACTAATGAGATATGAAAATTATCTACCGATTGGATCTTTTGTAGGAATAAAGGTCGCCTACTTCGCGGGGTGACCTGCATGACTAGTGATTTGCTACGGAATAAAATGTAATTTCACTCCCTACACTTTAAGGTTAATATACCATCGATAGTGGCATGTTAACATTAGGAACCATTTACTCTCCTCTAACCGGCCAAGTGATTTCTTACAAGAACATGAGTGATGAAATATTTACTACCTACATGTATTTGAATATAATATGGGCCTATGTATTTTTACTTCTACATCTTAATGATACTATTCATAAAGAAACATATAGGTCTGATAGTATGCATAATCGCTAAAAAGGATTCCTATCAGAATTATTTAAAAAAAAAATTTATTTTCATTGTCAATAGGTCTAGTTCACTTGATGAAATCTGAATGAAAAAATAAATCATACATCTGTTTTGTAGTCTTAAAGAACGAAATCACTGTACCTCTATGTTATTTTAAATGATATATTGAAATTATTATACCTTTGGTAAATCAATGAAGTTGTTTGATATCTTCTCCTTTACTTGAACTCTTGAATATTAGCCATTGCTAATTTGAATTTTAACCAGATACTTGAAGTGGTATTAAATAACACGAATGAATCATCATTCAATATATAAGACCTCTATCATATGACATTTCAATGAAATGAGGATGTAAAAAATTTCTCTGTATTTAATATGAAACTACCGGAAAGAAATATGTGAATTTAATCCAATTCACAAAAACTCAACAAAATTATAAAATATCGCCAAAAAAATTTAGCCGGTCGTTAAATTTATTGTTAACTTTCAGCAGTGATAATATCATATTTTCATTGGGACATAATTATGATAATCCAATAAGATTTATTCATTCGCACGACAAGGTTACATAGGTATATAGATCATTTCATTCGGTATTTGGGAATGGGCTGATAATCCCTGATAAATTTTCTCATAAGACCGGCGGACTTGCAACTTTTTGGATACACAAACTCTCTTGACATAATATACTCGTTTTAGTTTGCGCAATAGTGTGATTATATGTATAGAATAATATTCCCGCAAAATGGAATTGGTATTAAAAAAACTGCGTAGTTTGGTATATGTACTGGTTATTCTGTACCCGTTGTATCTCATCTTTTAATGATAATAATTTAAACCAAAATGAAAATTATTAAATTTTAAAACATTTTTATGGTCATAACATAACACTAATTTATTGCTAGCGTGATGTTATAATATCAAAATATAGGATTTTATATTAAGTTTATTGCTGGTTTATAGTCATATAAAAAACGAAAGATATGGGCGAATTGAGAGCCTTATAAAAAATAACGACATTGTGTAGCAGTTTGTAGAGTTTAAAGTTCAAATTGTATTATGTCCACTTGTCTTTTCTTTACGATTTGAGTGCCTACTTGGTGTCCATCCTGCGACAAAGGGGCCCCTTGGTCAATTTCGTATTATCAAATAATATTTTGGATAATCCTTGATCCTTTAGCATCGTGACGAGCAATTAGGAGCTCAAGAGTCCATAACGATGTGCTCCAAATAGCTATAAAAACATGGAAACAAACCATGACTAAGATGGAAAAGCCTTACAATTGCAGATACTTTTCAATAGGAGTGAGGACAACAGCAACTGTTTAAATCTTTAAAAAACATGTCATACCTACGGCTATAAATTTCAGATAACTGCATAAAATATTATGACATAAAGTGACATAGCTGGAGACAGACACGATATTAAATAGGTTTATTACTATTGTAGGTTGAAACATACATCCTCAGTTTAAACACAGCTTAGAAGTGAACTCTGTAATCTGTATACAATGTTCTCTCACCTTTTGGAATAAATATTTATTGTTTAAAAATGGATATAAAACTCTTCATTGTGGATTTTTTTCTTATTGTGTGCCTTGGATTAAGTGTAGCTCAAAATAATGCTCGCGATTATTATATGATGAATGCTCGACTTCGGCAACAACCAAATGGTGCTCGCTTAGTGAGTGTGGATCAACCGCTCCCCCCACCGGCTCCCAAGAAGACACCGTCGTATAATCCTCATGTAGTTCGAGTAGATCCACAGCCGGCTGCATACCCAGCTCCCAGTGGACAGCCGCTACCAACCGTCGTTTACGCTCAAAACCAACCTAGTGGACCACCTCAACGGAGTGTAGTTTATGCACAAAGTGGAGCATCAAGACCGGCAGCATATGTCCAACGTGGGCCTACCAATGTCGTGTATGCTCAAAGAGGACCACCGACATCAAATATTGTGTATGCTCAAAGTGGACCTCCTGCTCAGAGTGTTGTGTATGCCCAAAATCCTCAAAATGCCCAACCCAGATCAAAAGTTTATTATTCGCCAAGTACTCAAAATGAACCACCTAGAACAAGTGATCCTTATAGGTCTGTAGTGTATGCACAGCCTCAGAGTCCAGCACGTCATGGGCCTGTACATACTCACGTCATTGCTGCCCCCACGGGTCATCATGCACCGGAAAGTCATATAGCTCACCCACAGGCACCTCGTGTCATTTATGCACAAAGAGCTCAGGCTGGTCAACCACAAAACACCCGTGTTGTTTATGTAAGCCCTACAGCACAATCTCCTAACACACCTCCGGGTCAAACCCCAAAGGTCGTACATTCACCTAGCCCAAGAGTTATCTACGCACAAAACCCCCCAATAGTATATGATCCAAATCCACGCCCATTGTCTAGTCCACAGGTTGTCTACGCCCAAAGTCCCCGTGTAGTCTATGCCCAGAGCCCACCCGTTGTTTACGCCCAACCTCCACAAGTGGTTTACGTACGCAGCCCACAGGCTGTATACGCTCAAAGTCCAGGTCATAAAAAGGTGGTAATGTTGACCCCCGGGACTCATAAAAGGTCGCCTACAAACATCACGCATCAAAGTCCTCAACCTCAAAACCAACACTCACAACACAATCCTGTTTTGAATAACCCTGTGCCTCAAGGGGTTGGTACAACACCTAATCCATTAGTTGGTCTTGGTCCTTACGGATTCGAAGTTCCTAAACCTAGACTAGTTAGTGGTCAAAACACCGTTTGGATAACTACTACACCGAGTAACAACTATGTTTCCCCTACAACTATAGCCAATTTTGACGCATATGCAAGAATTATGAATTCATCGTTACCAAAAGCTGAAGGATTACCAGCTTACTGCCGGGTGGATCCTAGGTCTAGAGGACTTTTTTGTGTAATTCCAAATGGAGACACGATGCAGTACGACGTACTACGGCAATGGTCAGTGAATACCGGATTGAATAAAAGTGTGTACATCACGTGTATGCCCGGAGGATCGTTCGCTTTGTCCTGGCCAATGCGAGCAATGAATATAGTGAATTTGCATGTGCGTAACTGCGCCATGATCGATTTTTTCAAGTATATGGGAACGTCTTCTGTAATACCTGACAAACTTCAATCATTAGAGATCTATAATTCGATGGTCAATATAAAATTAGCCGAGTTAGCAGTCCTTATCAAACGGTCTAACCAATTACGTTCTGCATTTTCAACTACGGATGATTGCGGCCAAAAGACCTTAAAGAAATATGTGTTCAAAGACATGAAATTCGAAGTGTTTTCGCAAAATTTAACATTTAGTCAATATTCTAAAGTAAGAAGATTTCTGGACAAATTTTTACAAATGGCAAAGCTGCAGACGTGCACTTATCCAAATCTTATTCATTTAGACGAAAGCGGAAGTCCATTATCCTCTCTTTATTACCACCAACTAGTTACAACCAATGCAGTGTTTCCAAAACTTAAAACTTATCTTTCTTCAGGGATTGGTTTGACGGAAATACCTAAGGAACTGTCCAGTTTTCCTAAACACTTTCCATGTATGGTATATCTCGACCTTTCAAATAACCTGATAACTGCTGCAAAATTTAATTTAGAGTTCCGCGGTGAATGCTTGACTCCGTCAACAGATCCCGTGTATATAAATTTAAGAAATAATCGAATTGCTATGTTACCAACAATGCAAATAGAGTTTCTTTTGGACAGTCGAATTATAGTGGATCTTCAAGGGAACCCAATCAATTGTGCTGTACAGAGTAATACTCTTCGACAATACGCGATGGACATGGCAACGGCTTTTCCAAAGTATGCTGCCATACTTAATGCGACACCGTGTTTCTCACCTAAAGAAATAGCAAAAGCAATGCCCCCATTGCCACCCGTACCCGGGATGCCATTACCAGCAGATGCGACATCAGTTGTACCAGGATTACCTGAATCTATTGTGCCACCTATGCCACCAGGTCTTCCTCCGGGAATTTCTCCCTTATCACCGGGTATACCTGCAACTGACCCTGGGCTGCCTCCTCTGCCACCAGGTATGGCGGGTTTATCGGGTTTACCAATGGACATGTCGTTTATACCAGGAATGCCCATGCCTCCAGTACCTGGTATGCCAGTTTATGACTTGATACCCCATCCATTCGGACATCCCCATCCAGTGCCACCACCTTCGTTGGCAGTTTAATCATCAAAATATCAACAGTCAAGGACATATTTAGTTATAGTCAGTTTACGGTCAAATGACATGTATGTTTCACGAAAGGAATTTTAAAGTTAATATTCCATTACGGATACTGAAACTGGATTATTAGTGGTCTCGATACACGGTTAGAGGATTATTTAAATAACGATGCTCTTTGAACCTCAGACTTATTTGCTTAATCTGCTCATAGTGTTTGTGTGTTTCATTTGTGATCATTTTATTTTGCATAGCAGATTGTGTTACCCTTCTTTAAAGTTTTGGATTAAAAATTGTAAACTGTCCTGGACGTAAAGGATCTGTGACTAGAAAGCGAATTGGTGAGAGGTTTACATTCAAAACGTCAAGATTTTGAAGAGGTTTAGTAGACCATTTGTTTAACTCGGCAATTATATTCATTCGTCGATGTGCAGTGCGATACCGCATGCATCAAAATTATGTAAACTATGCTTTGTAATGTTTATCTTGTGCTTTATGTGAGTAGAGGATGTTTTTCACTTTCTCACCATATCCCATCAAAGGTTATTTCATTTCCATCCACTCACAAATAGTTACAGGAAACCCATATACGATACCATCATTGGATAAGCTCAAAATAAATGGTTTTATATAATCCCAGCTTTAGCATGCGCGTGTTACATACTTGATGTATGATTATAAATTTGATATCCACGATAGCATTTGTATTTACTCTCTAGCTCCCCTCAGTTCCGCTGAATAATCTGTCAAGCTTAAAAAGTATCCAACAAAGCACTTTGCCCGCATCATTATGCTCAGGTTGATTCACTAGGTTAATTGCACGACCGATAACCCCCTTTGGCTACCAATGAGATGATAATATGCAAACATCTGCTACTTTTTTCTGTCGTCTGTTCTTGGACTATTTAAATAAAATTATATGATCGCTTCTTGTTTCTGATTTTATTTCCGTCTCCAATGTTAACGATGTTTCCATCGCAGTTCCGTTCTAATGACATTATTTTTTATATAATCAAAGCGTGTCATGTAGAACCTGTTTCTTGATAACAATGTCGAATCAGGAACTAGCGAAAATGACTTTACTTTGAAATTTCGCTATCCCACATTAGGCATTGTTATTTGATAACGGATCCTCCTACATCGATTGGTCAAAAATATGCCATTACCACAGGACTTCAGTAGAAACTTTTTGGATAACAACGCAGACGAAAATTATCAGGAAAAAGATTATAAGACTTGAGACAGGGTTTATAATTCATAAAATGTGTCTTATGTACAAATACCTTTGTATTACAATATAATTTGGTTTGGTATAAATCTTTTTCTTTCATTTTGCCGGTTTTTAATATTAACTTAAAAACTTACATCTTAAAGGGAAATTCCGCCTTTTCGGGAAAAGTTTTCATTGTGAAAAACGTCGTAAATTATACCTGAAAATATTTCTAAAGTAGGCTATTTATATTATTATATAATTTTTATTAAAATTAACGGCTGGATGTTTTAATTAAAACTTTCAATTTGTTCAAACAAAATTGTCGACAAAAGAGCGGAATGTCCCTTTAAGGTTTCAGATTTGCCAATATCGAAAGCAGGACAGAGTCTATAGAGGAAAATGACTATTTCATCTTCTATATGGTGGATGGCTTTCCACAACCTTAACAGAAGGTTGAAGTAAAATATTATTGAATTCCAACACGAAATAGTCCTGATGTGTCTAGAGAGTAATACGTCATTAAACATATTCCCACAAACGCTACGAAGCCTTTCCACTGCCTTAAAAGACAGCGTGTTTCGTAACTACCACAAGCATCTGCAGAGCGGTTTCCAAGTGCACTGAACCTTGTTTTGGTTATTTAGATATTACAGCCATATCATGTGAAATTATCGTGTCTAACACATTGTTACAACATTGAGACAGGTTTGCATTGGATCATTTCTCAAATGCTGCCACCGGCCATGTAGTTTATGAAATGAAAAGGAGATATACTACTAATTCCTTTGATATAGGTTTACCTGTTTGCATTTCCTTATATTTCAATGTGACTTTGCATAATTTGGTGACTATTTTGTACACAGACAAAATTAGTGGTATATTATTACATTAGAGTTCAATAATCGCTCACTGGTATTATTTCATTCTCTTTTAGCTGTTTGAATTCATAAGTTGGCACGGAGTGCTCGAAGATACAGATTTTTTCTTTACTCAAATATTAACATTACTATATAACGACTACCAGTCTATTTTTATTTAAAAAAAAACCGGATAATTTCATTGGACGTTGAGTATCTACATCCTGAAACTGAATACATAACATTGACGTGAACATATATTAAAATGGTTCCTAAACACTTGTTATAGGTCTGACTAACCATGGATAATGTCATAGCTCTATACACTGTCTAAGGTATATATATTATTATTATTAATATTATATTCATATAAGGTCAATTCACTTAATAAATAGATAAATTCTTAAATTAAGAAAATCTATTTTAAATCATGGAATACAGTGTCAATTGTCAGTATATTGTATTTTTATCATTAAGTGATGATTTGGTTGTATTTTGCATCATTTTTGCGAAAAGCCATAAAAAACAAATACTTAAAATAAGAGTCTTTATAAATCCACCTGTATTCTTTTGAAAAGTTATTGCCAACTTCCGATGACATGATTAAAATTCATATCAAACGACTATACGACAGCTTGATAGACACATTGTCATTCGGTTAGCCATGACAAATGTGTCATAATGTCATTAAATTTTAAAATCATGACATGTGGATCAATTGTGCATCGTTTTGTCTACATCGTGCCACAACGACACAGGTTCAAACCATCAGTATATATTTTAGTCTATACATCATTGACAAACGAATGTCGTGAAATTTGAAATTAAGTCCTAATGCTGAACTTCCGAGCCTTTTCAACATGAAACTTTTCATTTTCACGCGAGATTTGATATTGAGTCTTAATACTGACTTTGAAGCTTTTCCATCAAATTCTTATATTATAAAATATATGGCATAATAAGTAGAACATACCTTAATGATAAATAATACTGTTCCGAAAAGGACATCAAATACTGGTTAAAATTTGACCCAAATCATCATCATGTTAAAAGGATGCTATGATATAAACCTATAGATAATTTTAGTAACAGACTAAACACATGTCGAACGCCTTTCCGTTCGCGATGCAGGGAACTTGATATGTACTTGTGATCATTTCAATGACATACTATGAAAGTATTATAAAAATAAAAAATAATGTCAGCTGATGAATAATTGGCATTCTTTGCTTGTTTACGAATATTTGGCAACAAAATTCCAGACTGCTATATACCCGTGTGGCGCCTTGCACTTTTCTCAGTTCATTAATGTGCGACAAGACCTGATCGCAATAATTTATAGTGAATCGACAACAAAACAAACAAAGCAATGTCGAAGATACTTAACGTATAAATGAATAACATAATTCGTTGAGCTTTAGGCATGAATGTCACTTGCTAAATTTATAACACTTTTTTGTGTATTTACAGGTAATTAACTAAATCAGACGGCACTATTGTAAATGTATATCATCATGAGGAATTTGGCAGTTTTCGTTGTTCTCACTTCAGTTATATTGAACCAAGTTATTGACTGTGTCGTCATTCCAAGCGAATCCACAACAGATTCAGAAAATTTGAACTTAACGTCTTTTCAAGATGTTTGTTCAGTTACCAAACAAAACAATAACTACTCATTATCATGTTTGCTTCAACCAGAAGATGTTTTCTCCTTCGTAAATTTTCGAAATTGGTCGAAGAGTTTTGGTAACAGTTCGAATATAAGACTGAATATACAATGTCAAAATGGTGGAAGGGTTGTACTTCCTTGGCCATACCGATCATATAACTTAGTGAGTCTTGTCATTAAAGATTGTGTCCTGGAGGGACATTATCTAGAAAGTAATCGAACAGATCTGTTACAAAGTATTGAAGATAGATTAGAATGGGTCGAAATCATAAACTGTGAAGAATATACAACTCTGGAGGATTTGGAAATATCACTAAAAAGTGCTGGAGATGAAACAAAAGAATTCGAATGTGGACTCCTAAATGTTGTTCACTATGTGAAAAGAAATTTGACGCTTGCCCTCGAAGAACTATCTCCTGACGACTTGGATTTCGGGGACTATAATTCATCAATGCAAGGAGATTATGGAGATTTTCTGGATTACGATGCTCTTTTAGAAAGTTCTTTATCTATACCGGAATTAGACGAAAAGACTTCGGAAAACAACAAGGAAGATATAGATGAGGCAATTAGACAAGGTGTCGTGCGTGCAAGTGTATCAATGACACATGATTGCCAATATTCAGATTGGAAATATTATGAAAATTCAAACAATTTGGACATAGGAAAATTCCATTTAAATGGTTTAACAGCTAATAGCAACTTTCCTAAAATGAGAGTCATAAACTTCACTCGCACGTATCAAAATTCCGTACAGAATGAACTCCTTAATTGGCGTCTAAATTTTCCCAAATTAGAGATTTTAGATATGTCTCATTGTTCAGTATCTGAATTCAATTTTCAAGACTATACAATCGGCACCATGGCAAAGGGCTACATCAATTTACAGTACAATGACATTTCTTTTCTCGGTCGCAACGAAATAAATTCATTTCAAAGACTGCGATCAACGATAATAGACGTTAGAAACAATCCTTTCGATTGTGATTGTACCACCATGAGTGACTTTGTTGAATTTCTTCAACGGCATGAAAATCCTAAAAAGGCTGCGCTTCAAAATGATTATGCCTATTTATGGGAATTACAGTGTACTTTTCCTAATCAGTTTACTGGTAAGTTAATTTCTGAACTAACCAAGGACATTCTTTGCAATTTAGACGCATCAGTGTATATTGAACCAATAACGGCTTTGTCCGTAGTAGTAGTGATATTGATTATTATCATTATCGTCATTGCAAAATATCGGAAAGAAATTCGAATTCTTGTTTTCACCAGACTTCATATCGTTTTACCATGTGAGTCAGCTAAGGACAACTCCACTTACCAATATGATGCATTTCTTAGTTATAGCAGTAAAGATGCAGAGTGGGTGATCGAGACTTTGGCTAAAGACCTTGAAGACCCACGATGCAGTTTGGGACTTCGTCTCTGTCTTCACCATCGGGATTTTCAAGTCGGAGATTGTATTAGTGATAACATTATCTGCGGTGTGGATAAAAGTCGACACACTGTTCTCATCGTCTCTCAAAATTTCTTGAAAAGTGAGTGGTGTGTTTTTGAGTTCCGAGAAGCTTTACACAAAAGTCTTCTGGAGAAGAGGAAACACATGGTCATAGTTTTGCTAGAAGATGTGGAATTGACCAATGTGGAATCGGATTTTAAGCGTTGTCTTCAAACCATGACCTGCATCAAAGCAAACGACGCTCTATTTTGGGACCGGATGAAGTATGCCTTAGGAAGAAAATGTCACAAGTATAGCACCACTTTTGACAACAAAGTATATGAAATAGAAAAATCCCTAAATGATGACAAATTGTGTCCCAAAAATGGAACCGATAAAAATGTTTAAACTCCTACAGAAATTGCAATCATAAGACTTGATAATGAAATGATTATGACTAACTGAATCGTATTTCATATGGTCAGCTTTGTATTTCTTAACACAAATAAAAAGGACACAAAACTCCATTGCAATGGTAGTTTTCTGTAGCCAGAACGCTGTAAGATTTGAGGTAATTCTAATACTGTATAATTGTAATGTAAATGAAATGTTTATTTTTGCTTGTCTATTGAGGGTTGCAATGTGTACATTGGCAGGTTAATCAAATACACATTTTTAAAACATGTTGAATCGTGTTTCAAATACATGTGGAATCGTGTTTCAAATTACCTGGTTGAAGTTTCAGTTTTAGAATTATATATTTTGATATTTGTCTTGTGCATCTTTATCTATCATTTGCTTGCAATACACATATTTGTATATAGAAATATTTGAGTATTTTGAAGGATGTAGATGTCTATATCGGTAATGTCTCGTTGCACGAGCAAGAATCGAGTAGCCTTTTCATTTATTCGTTTTACCCAATGGAGTGGACAGTGGCGTTTGTACGGGTTGCCAGGATTGGGAATTTTCAATTTCTTGATCATTTTGAATAGTGAGAGAATGCCCCCCTCTTCTCTGTTCGCCCCTCCCCCTCCCCTGATGTTACATACAAACGCCACTGGGAGTGGGACCGGATCTATTATGTCTCAAAATATCATAGTTTGCTGATGCCAATCCATTTTTTTGATCTTCAGCATAGGACACTCGAAAGTGTCAAACGTTCTCACTCAAAATAAAAGATTATTTTACGCTTCTTTTATTGGTGTGTCTGACTGGATTGGACGCTACGCTTCCTGTCTGAGAGTCCACATAGCTGGTATATTTTGTGCTGGTACATATTATAATTACATGTTACACACCAAAAGGCTGGTTGTTTGACTGGATTGTACCTGATCTCTTTCTTCAAACTATTTGCTTTATGCTCCCACTATACTAAACACTGCAGTGGTAAAGTAATAGTAAATATTCATAATTAATCCAGCCCAGCTAATAGCGAGGTTCCTCAATACTTCCATTATATTCCCGTGAATAACAAATTCATTCATTGTCCGTTCTACATACAGAATATGAATATGTAAAAGAAACCACATTAGTTGGGCACTTCATTTTTAAACCCATTTCGATAGAATATAATGATAAAATACAATAAAATACAAACAAGTAACAGGCTGCATCAGGTTTAGAAAAACAAAACTTTAAAATGTCAAGAAGTTTGCTTGTATCACATCACATTCGCGATTAGTAAAGTCATCAAAGTTTTATGGGAATTGCAGGAACCGCAAACGACTTATTGAAATTGGAATCGTGGAAAAATATCAACATGCCCTTATTCATTTGGGATACACATAAGGAAATACAAAGTATACATAATTTTGGCACAAAATAACGTTAAAATAAAACAATGAAACAAAATAGCAACATGTCCTGGTTTAAAAGATATAAAAGTAACAAAAAATAAAAGAGCTCAATCTTTGAAAAGTTTAAATAAATAAAGGGTAAATTAAATAGAATACAATAATAACATAAAACAGCAATACATCCTTATTCATTGGGTATGCACGTAACAACATATTCATAAAGATTATTTCAGGGGAAAAAACGAAATTTACACATGACTAAAACGCCAAAATAAATGATGGCACGATATTTTCAAGGACATTAACATTAGGCCTAGTTTCTTTGACACGTGAAATATATTATTGTCTATTGTTCATTTTTCGGACTCTTCAAAGTTTTGGTGTCACGGATTCTGACATTTTCTTTGCCCATTGAAATTCTTTCTCATAGTTCGGATCTGTGATAGCTGGTCTATTCATACTAAATCCTGAGATATCATACTGTGTTCTACCATCAATCGCCATTTCACTTAAAATTTTACCCAGTAAACAGGCAAATCTGAAAAACAATTTATTTTGATAAGATATTTGATAAGATCCATGTAATCTGCTAATGCACAGACAAATATATCAAAATCATTCTCAACTATCTTTCAAACAATTTTTGTCAGGCATGTGCTATTTCTCAATGTAATATTTCACTCTTTTCAAGGCAAGATATTTGAGAAACGGGTGCCTGATTACTTTATTTCGCGCTGAGGTTATGTCCGGATGTAATTTGACAATTTCCATTGGCCTACTAACTTGGTACTAAGTATCAGTGGCGGAGCCAAAGGGGGCGGACGTAAACCTGGCTCCGCCACTGTTCAGGAAACAAGATACCAAATTGGGTAATCAAGAAACTGTATGAGATAATTTTATGACATGTCCTCGGTAGATAAATTGATCTGATAGCGAGTGTACAGAATGCATTGCACATTACAAATTCTACCAGAAAACCAAACAATGAAAATGGAAACTCAGTTATGTTAAGTAAACTAATCATATATGAAAATATGTCAGAAATATAACTAGTACTTACTTAAAAGCATGCCCTGCCCCGTTACAGATAATGATATCAGGATAACCAGCTTTCTCACATTTATCAACCACAAAATGTCTGTCAGGAGTCATGGTGTACAGGCATGTCTTGGTGTACATTATTGGACCAACAAACTGAAGTATAACATGTTATAATCTTTTATGAATATTTCGAATGGTGTTGAATGGGGAGATATATTGCTAGTTTCTTTATGTATACTCTTTACAGTAAAGGGATTGTTAAGAGGTTTTCTAAATATTTTATGTGTATCGGATCCATTGATGGCTTAATATGTTTGCATTATTCCGATTGTCCGCCAGATGTGTGTGGTTCGTGTATCTGATATGCTTTACTGAATATGGAGTCACAACCACACAGGATGCTAATAAATTATTAGCACAGCGATGCTATCAGTGTCCCCCATAAACATGAAAGGTTTAGAAAACATCCTTATAATCTCTTTAAAATACAATATCTACTGGTTTTGTTACATAATATCATGCTATCGTTGTTAGGTAGTTTTGTCCGACAAAAATAATTATTGGATATGTACAACGAATAGACGCAAGATTGGTTGTAATTACAATCTCACTTGCTAATAGGGTTTTTCTTGAGAAGTGTATTCGTTCCATCGTTTTGTATCCCGGGTGCATCGTTCTGTACCTCGGCTCGCCTGGAATGTAGTTTTGAACGACAATGATAGCTCTGCATTGTTCTAAATGAGCCCATTTATATATCTAATAAGCAGTCTAACGGTATCAGTAATAGTAAATATTTGCCCATAGCTTACCTTTGGTGATATCTTCTCCATGAACTTGACAACAATATCTTCACGTTCAGGATCAACGACAAAATTTCTGGTATTGCCAGTTACAGGTGGACCACCGGCATCAATACCAATTTTACTACAGGCATTACCATGAATTGGTATTTGATAAAAATCATAGTCTTTACCATGATACAAAAACATTGGATATCTGAAACAATAAAAATTTGGTTTGGTTTGGTTTGGTTTGCAATGAACATCTTAATTTTGGAATGTCTTCCAATGTCTATATAGTCTGTCCTTTTCCAGAATACCTATTGCCTACCTCATTGATTTCGCCATGTTCACCCTATCCGAGTCATTATAAGGTCTCCATTACTGGCTTTATCATCTGTTGAGTTAATTCCACCAGTAAATTTGTTTCCTTTACACATAAAATACCGAGCGCCTTTGTATTTACAAAATTACATCTGCATTCTCAAAAATCAGAACAAATAGAATATCCACTGTAGATAACCACTGTACCTACCGTACCACTTTGCCTTTAACAAATCCGTAAACTACGTAAGTCTTTTAAATATCATTCTCTCCCCTCCACCCCTAATCCCAAATTTTCCGGTTCTATTAGTTGTCAAATGTCTAAGCTTAATCATAGCAAAATTTAGTAGGGTGTATTGAACTTCATCCTCCTCGAACTTTGGTGTACTTCTTGTTGAAGATAAAGGACCTTCTGTTTTGCAGTTCAAACCAGTCACATCAGTCATAATAGGCCTAACTAGTACAACCTTAGACTGTTTCAAACCCCACTAAGAAAACTTGACCCACGATGATAACACACAGGAAATGACTTATTACATTTAAATACGAGATCAACTTCTTAAGCATGGAATAAATTCAGTTAGTGCACACTATAATGTGAGGATATCGCACACACTAAAAACAACTTTTTTGGAGTTTTATAATTAACTAAATACGATCAACAAACTAAAGATTATACAAGGCGTGATAATTCCTGTAAGCGATTAAAAAAAGCGCTAACAATAATGCTCAGGTTAAATACTAGTATGTACAATTTGCGATGAAATATGTACTAGTTGCCCGTAGAAATTTAGATACCCGTCCAAATGCTTATCATTTCTAATCTTAGTTCGATTGGGAATCCACATCCTGTTGGGGACGTAGGTCCTTATTGATTTTACAAATTGGGATACAATAATAAGGCAATTTAAAGTTTAGACTGAGAAGTTTCATTTTGTAGACCAGCCATTTGAAATCCTGGTTTATAATTAGGATTGGTGATCGCTTCTCTTTCCATACTAAATCCTGAGATATCATACTGTGTTCTACCATCAATCGCCATTTCACTTAATATTTTACCCAGTAAACAGGCAAATCTGAAAAGAGAATTAACACGTGGACGGTTATTTATGCTACAAAACTATATTTGGCGACCGCCGTAGGCCATCTAAGATGAATTTGAAATTTACGTTATATGGTTTTGTCTAGTTAAACTATTTGTGATTTTGATTATGATTTTAACACAGTTGTGGAAGATAACCCAAAAATTCAATGGTACATCTAAGTCCAATTTAATTTCAACATATTTTAACTAACTCTGTGTTAACTGATTGAATGTAAATTTTAATTAGAAAATCTTCCCTTTTCATCTGAGAAGGGAATTTGTTTGAAATTGGTTTGATATCTTGTTATATGTGTGATGAAGGTCAAACAATGAGTAGGGCGAAAACCCACTCATGTACGAATTAAAACATAAATTAATTTACTTACTTGTAGGCGTGTCCAGCACCATTACAGATGATGACGTCAGGATAGCCAGCTTTTTGACAACGATCAACGACAAAATGCCTGTCAGGTGTCATTGTATAAAGACACGTTTTTGTCAACATGACAGGGCCTATAAACTGTAATAAACATTAAAATGTTTCATGACGAGGACAATCATTACCTTCTTAAAAAATATAAAATTTTAGTAGTAGGCAACAACTTGACATAAATTAGTAAATACGTTTTTGATAACACATGTTAATAGATCTGTAAGCCGCCGCACGTCACTGTTGATCTTTGGAAACCGCAGTCATGAATTCTTTGTATAGAAATATTTTTTCAACAATTATTCAAATTGCAAATAATACCCGAACATAATATTTGCCTTCCTTTAGTTCAGCCTAAATCTTAAAGTATTTCATCTCAAGACGAAGTCATAGTAAATGTAGGTCAAGTGAAGTCAGAGTTCAGCGACTTAACCGACTTAGCCGCTGGCGTTTCAGCAAAGTTGGTCACAGTATACAGCAACTTGTTAAAGTCTATGTAAACGCTATTGGTCATGATTTAAAAATTAAAAAAATTCTAGCTTCATTGAACGTTACATTGTTTACCTTCGACATAAAAAGCTCAAATAAATCGATTAACAATTAGCAAAACCCCGACTAACCTTCGGTGCGATCTTCTCCATAAATTCTATGGCCATCTTTTCATTGTCATAATTCGGTTGAAACGATCTGGTAGCAGCCGAACAAGCTCGTCCGGCAGCGTCAATACCTATCTTAGAGCCGGAATTACCGTGAATTGGTATTTGATAAAAGTCATACTTTGGGGAATGGTAAACAAACATTGGGAACCTATAAAAGAATCTCAGGATCTATCTGTGGCTTAGTTTTGAGTTAGTGCTTTACTTTTGCAGAATAAAGTTGTTGAGTGATGGTTATTTAGTTTGAGGACATTTTTATTATATATTTATATGAAATGATCATAGATGCTATAACAATAGAAAATCCGTAGATGTCTAAGTGGTTTCAGAATATTACACATTCTTTATCAGAAGAAAATGCGTTGAACATACCTATCTTTGGTGAATTCTTTGATAAATGGTGTACCAAGATATGTAACTTGTTCCTGTGTTACTGTTACGGGAATATGAACCCCAATTGATCCCAATACTTGATTTATCCAAGCCCCTGCAGCAACAACCAAACGTTTACAGGTAAAGGTACCTTTTGTAGTTTGAACCTGTAAAAGAGTATTTCATGGCATATTATTCAATTGTTGAGGTCATTCATTGGAATGAAGTTACAATGTCGGGACTGTAAAATGGGCGTATTTGAAACAATAAGCGAGCTAATAAAACTACATTTTAAACATAAAAACACACATAATTATTATTTAACCATAACAATGAGTAATTTCTTTGCACTTCACACTTTCTGTCTTAAAGATCGCGGAGTTACTTTAATTGTTTGTTTGGTTTTTCAGTATTATGACGTATATTTTAGGCATCCACTGTGCCGTTAGGTTATATAGGATTTGATGAAGTTCAATTCCAATAATCAGTTATCAAAGACTGAATGAAGCGGTGCAAGGCCTTGGTCAATTCCATTTCTATAATATTTATGAGGATGTCATACGACGTATCTGCTTACCGAGATCCTTCCGTCATTATTTCTGAAGACTCTAATGACTGGACTGTTAGCTAAAATACTAGCACCATATCCTCTAGCTAGTTGTTGATGTACAGAATTAGATAACGCAGCATCCACAAGACCAGCTTCTGGCTGATATAAGCTAACTACATCTTTATCAACTTTGAACTGTGGAAACTTCTTCTCTAACTGTTCAGAGTCTAGCCTTTCATATCTAGAATTATATATAGGCACCGTCTTTCTAATATCGGAGGCAATATATCAAATGAAGGGAGGCAAGTCGTAAAAAAATTCAAGTGTTTCGAAAATTTATGCTCTTGAGGTTATGATTTTTTCACTGGGGTTCAGTTAGTTTTATATGTATCCATGACAATTGTTTGTGTAGAATAACGTATATTACATGTGACATGTGATCCAAGTCACTTGGCAATTAGCCCCCTTACTTGATGTCGAAGGTATCCATAGCTTTAGCATAACATTCCATAATAGCATCTGCTTCTCCTTTTTTACTCATATTAAGACCACCACATTTATGTACTAATTTTACTCCAGAATCTTTCTCGACCTCTTCCCATCTGTAAAAAAGGGGCACGTAAGTATTGCTCTCAATGATTTTACAAGGACAAACTTATACAGTTAAGATAGCATTGCATGAATAAACGCAAGGATGGGTTGCTGCTTGGGGCATTGTTTATCCATTCTCAAGAACTGCTGTCGTATTGCTATCGTCGGTTACACAAGCTCGTATTCGTCCCAATTTGTGACATTTTCGGTTGAAATGTATTTGGGTAGAATTACGTTTATATTAAATGTCAACTTATAAAACCTGATAATGCCATCAGCCATGAAGTTGATATTCCAATTTGCAAATAATCGGAAAATGTGATTAATCAACAGAAGTATGAGGACAGTAAAATCTTAACTGTATTTTGGAAATATATTTCTGTCCTTGTCCACTATGTGACTTGGCTTTTGTTGGACAACTGGACGCTTTTCCATTCCAATTTCTGTGATAATATCAATGAAAGTATCTATTGAATAAGAAATTTAAATAACAAGATGGACTTACGCTTCAAATGTATGTTTAGCTATTTTAGTATAACGGTCATCATGATAGGTCAATCGGCTGAAACGAAATATAATAATCATGTCCATAAATAGCTTAAATCAGTAGAAATATGTGTATCCCTTTTTTAAAAGGAAGATTGAAAGTATTAAGTTTCGCTATAAAAAAACAAAACATGCATAAGAAGATCACCTTGGTGTGTCCTAATAGTTTCATCCGTCATCTTAACATTATTCTTCACCTGTTTTTCGGCTATAGTCAAGCCACAATTACAAACAAACTAACTACATTGAAACCAATGTAAGTTAATTTTCAATATCCGAACACTCATTCCCCCAAATACATACTTTTCCCTTCTATTTCAGTCTTAAAAGTCAGATGGGTAGCATGAATTAACTGCTATATAGATCTATATTATAAGTGTTGGAAACAGTCTATATGTTGAACTCTGCATATTAAGAGCGTGTGGTAATGCTTACATAATTCTGGAATGATCTTGTGAACCACCATTGTGATGTCCCAATTCAAATTGCTCAATACCTAATACATCTGGAATTGAAAGGTGTGATTGTTGAGATTTTAAACGCCTATCTTAACAAATAATAACTGTCTTATTTTGGGTGAAAGATTTGGAATCAGATGCATATCTAATGGAAAATAAACACAATATTTTTACAGAATGACACCATACATCACTGCAGTGTAGCATGGCACAGTCCATTGTGTAATATAATTGTGCGCGATTAATTGGGGCTAGGGCAGACATTACCCTTATTAATTATCCCGATCATTCGAATGACATCATAGGCTTCTTAATCATGTTTAGGTTTACTTAGATATTGATAATTATTTCAAAACGATATCTTCTTCGTAACGACACAGTGACCATATTATTCAAACCCCTTTTATATAATCAAAATTATGTGAACCAAATTCTGAACACGGACTGCATGATCTAGTTAACTAATCTATTTACCTAATGTCAATACAAATAAGATAAGGGGTTGACATGCTTACACTATCTATCTGTATTACAGACAGTTCGTTATGTAATGACCATCTACAATCTGACGAAATTTCTTTCAAATTGTGTTCAGTCGAATTTTTACCAAGTAGTTGGTAAAATATATGTTCACTAATTACAAAAACAACCACTGTTGGATGGATATAGTCGTCTAGATATTTGCTTTATAAGCTGATATATACCTCAATGGCAGCTGGTAGATACCTTAATAATATTCAGATTTATAATACGACTATATCGCTTCTTTGACAATTTAACAAAAACGTCCCTTGTCGGATGCAGTTTTTAACGAAATTACTATAACGTCATAAGTAAATAATGCGAGGAAGTTAACTATAAGTGTTTACAACAGGCCTTCGGTCCGTACGCCTATTTTCGGAGAACTGGTCGTATAATCTAAGTGGTATGAATTGTAGTCACTATCAACTGGTTTAACCAAATATATGGATATATTTTTCTTTTTAATGTAAGGATTAAAATTTAATGTGTAAATGCTTAATCTATGAATCAGGAAATTAGAGTCAGTCAAAGAAAAAAACACACACGAAATGAGGTCATGAGTTATAATCACACAGTGCATCATTCTTGAAAAATTTGACATTAGAAATTCAGCTTCCTTCAGCATGCATTTGATATGCGAATTTAATAACATTTAATACATTTAATAATGTAGGTCTGCCAGCTTTCCCACGTCGAAATAATATAATCAAGTGTTTTAAAAAGATATCTTCTACAATGAACAATAATTGGACGCCATGTCATGCATGGGCGAAATCTCGGTTAGGGTTTGAACGCAATAACTGAGTTTATATGAAAATAAGTCTTACCAGCTTGAGCTCTCTTGGCTACCAGTACACAGCAGCACTACCAATACCTCCACATCCAACCACAATATATTCAAAATGTGTTCTGCCTTCATCAAACCAAGTTTTTCTGCAAGTTTTGGACATGATGCCTTCGTAATGGTTTGTGATAACGGACTGAACTGTACAGCTGTTAGCTCATCAGATAAATGTCTTGAACATTTTGTCTCTTATATATATATGTACAATTATCAGATATTATCAGCTAGAATATACTGGTTCTTACCGACAGGTTGTTTAGCAATTTGGTATATTAGGTACAAATTCCGTGGTTGTCGCCAGGATACAAACACATTGTCATGCTCAATCTCATTAAAGAAGATAAATCTAATGTTTTGTTCAGTTTTTCCCCGCAGACTTCAATTGCGGTCTATAGACTGACCAAACTTTTCTGTTTCTGCACAAACGTTCTTGGTTATTAAAAACACATGCCCAGTTCATATAATATATACCTACCAAATGAAAATGAAATGGAATATACATTATTACATCGTTAGCCCATTTGAGCATAATCATAAATTTTAGAAGCTTTTAGAGCTACATTCAGCTGAACACGAGATGAAGAAGTATAAAATATCCACATAAAAACACCAAACATCGATCTGCATTTCAATCAGATTGTGTCAAAGCATTCGGTTAACAAATATTAAGCGGGTTAATGAAAATGTAGTTTGTATTAAAAGAGTATCAAAAGTGATTATAATATACACAAAATTTACGAATATCTCTTTGCCAAGTCTGTAACCAGCAATAATGATCTTTGAATGGCAAATGAGCGAGCTGAACAGCTGAATAATGTTGGTAACAAATCAAACATGGAACGATAACTACCTGTAACTTTAGACTTATTTGTGACATCACAGATGATGTTACTTGCAAATAAAAAAACAAGAAGCGAAACACTATCAACCGGTCACTTAGTTCGAAAGTCGTCCGGTCCTTAGTACGAGACAATAGCAAACTAAACGAAAAAATAACAACTGGAAGCCAGTCAATTGTCAAACTATACATTTAAATCCAACTGATAAATGGAATTATTGAGCTTTTTATTCTCCAAACGACCACAGCTATTCAAAGCAGAGAAGGTACGAAAACGAAAACACACAAAAAACTGTGATAGTGGTAGAATATTATACGACTTTAAAGGGACATATTTTTCAAAACGGTATTGGCCCGAAAGATTCTATTGTCTCAATATTTAAAAAAAATTGTTTGACAGATTTCGGGAAGATAACTGAACTAAACATTATGGCAATTTCTGAGTTAGGAATTATGGGTTACTTATGGTTAGTTAACATACATTGAACCCTTTTTTATCATCGCAACCGGTTAGAATCTGTTTTATTATCGTATTGAATGATTTATAAATGGGTTAAGAGAGCAATTTGACTTGATGAGTAAACATCCGATAACGTGTGCCTTACTTCATCCATCTTAAGGTGGCAATACGATGAGGTATCGTGTTCCGAGTGGTGCATCATGCGAGGTCCGGTTTGAGATTATCAATACAGTAAATTGAAAGAAGAAGCACAGTCTGCACCGTGTTCGTACCAACTACCTCGGCTTTTTCTCTTTCTACGGTTTCGTATTCTGTATCCTACACCGCACCTTACTCCACTTATTCTTAAATTAATGGCATCTTTAAGTCTAATGAAACTTACAGAAAGCTTTGCAAGCAGCCTAATATGGATACCTATCGACATGAATCCATACAAGTCGATAGGCGGCATTTCAAGTACCCTGTGCTGGGTCCTTGTACCTCAGATTGGAAACCAAGATTCTGCAACATAATATAAATATTGTCTTCGCAAAAGACCCCCAACTTCCCGAAATTTCAAACGAAACTCCCAAATTGACTAAACAAAGCCTTTGTAAAAGCAAGTTTCAAAGTGATAATGTAAGCTCATTCTTTTCTTATCAGAAAAAAGTGAATCTTATAGTATAGTAACAGATCTTTCTTGAAACTGATATTCAAATTCTAACAAAAATAATCGGTAAAATCCGATATATCAACAACCTTGCTAAGACAGTAAATAGCAGTGATAATGATTGCTCCTTATTAACCTACAAGTTTTCTTATAGCACTAAAATTTATTTCATATTACAGTTAAAAATAGTTTGCAGTTGTCAGTAATGATTGTCATACTGTTCTAGTTCTTTTTCTCACATCACAGTTTGGATTTCGGTTCAGTTTTTCTAAAGACCAGAAAAGGTTGGAAGTTCGGATCTGTGATAGCTGGTCTATTCATACTAAATCCTGAGATATCATACTGTGTTCTACCATCAATCGCCATTTCACTTAAAATTTTACCCAGTAAACAGGCAAATCTGAAAACAAAAAACAATTGTCGTGTGCTTTTGTTGTACTCCCATGTAAAAATGTTGATCACTTATACTTTTTTACACTACACACCGTTTTACAGTATTCTTTCTTGTGTTGGTCGGTAATGTTCGCTCTAATACACCTTTCATTGAGTAGGTACAATATGGTTACATAAGATTTATGAACTAAAGTACCCAAGCATGCCAGTAGAATTTACTTACTTAAACGCATGAGCTGAACCGATACAAACGATGACGTCTGAATATCCAACTTTGTCACAAGTATCAATTACAAAATCTCTATCAGGAAGCATATCATATAAACACGTTTTCGTCTCAAGAACTGGTCCAATGAACTAAAAAAAATATACAGATACAGTTTAAATCCTGGAAGTTATCGATTTTCTACTCTCGTTGTCAATGTATGAACGGGTGAACGCAAATTTCCAAAATCTGCATGTGTTTTAGACACTCAACTAATGAAAAAAAACAATTGGATAGACTCTTTTTGACTAAGTTATGACAAATTAAACTGTGTAGGTTTACTAAAATATGAAGTATGGATTCAGTGGTGTTTCTACTGAGAGGTAAGTCATCCCCCCCTCCTGAAGACTATTTATTTATTCAAGACACAAATCAATCCATAAAAATGGCCCATCTGTCTCTTCAGGCATTGCAGCTGTTATAAATCCTATTCCAACAGTTCTACAGTTATTATAGATAAAGGCTATGGTAATTCTATCCATTTACATTAAACGGATCAAACTTTGAGCAATCGGAGTAATTAAACTTTTACCTTAGGAAGAATATTTTCCATGAAATCGGTGGTAAATTGTTCAACTTCGGGACTGGGTTTAAAATCTCTTGTATGAGGTGTCACTCGCTTACCAAGCGAATCGATGCCCACTTTGGGTCCAGATCGACCATGGACTGGTATTTGATACAGACTGAAGTCTGGTTTTAGGTAGGAAAAAACTGGGAATCTGCAATTACAAAAAATGGCTTTATCCGAACGATTTTAAACATACACGATAACCCATTCAGCAACTATCGGTAGTTTCCGTAAGTTGAATATGTTGCAGAGCGGAGGTGGAAGTTTCACAGTAGACCGTTGACGATAATTTAACGATCTCGTTCGTGCACCAATATCAATACCAACTACACCTTTCTAGGTATTTCAGTTAGAGTGAAATGATTGATTGTAGCTCATCATGAAATAATCAGTAATAAGCTCACGTACCTATTTTTAGTAAACTCTTTCATATGTGGTGTTCCAAAATACGTTACTTGTTCTTGTGTAACGATAAGAGGTATTTGTATACCTATGGATCCTAAGACATTATTAGACCAAGCTCCACACGTCACAAGTAGTTTCCTGCATGTAAAGTCACCTTTAGTGGTTTTAATCTAAGTCAAAAATAAAGTAACTAATTATAAGTCGTCTGAAACATCTGCCCTTATTCCAGCCTCTGATGGCTATTTTGACAATTGTCGGCTGGAGTAAAGTCAGAAAGGAAAAAAAACCTGAAAAATGGAAATTTTCCACACTTCCGAAAATGCGTTTTTTTCTAACATAGCATTAAATTACCTTTGCGATGAAATTGTAAATTAGTGTTGGGCATCATCGTAACTTTCGTTTTGTTAGTATCATGTGGCTCTGTGACCTTTAAACTTTTGGCTGCGCATGCAGTTATAACTAGCCGTTGTGAGATCAGTTTCGATAAAAAAAAAATTAAGGAACCGAAGACGTGATTTAAATGCTGCAATGTAAGGATAAAATGATGGTATGACTGATCCTCAAATATATACATCTTTCCAAATATATCGGGGTTTTGCGGATCCGAGGTATGTAAATAGGTTTTAAAAGTCCTCACTTAACAAGGCATATTTTCCGTCTCTATATCAGCCTACATCTGAACAAACAGCTATCAGAGGCTGGAATAGAGGTAATAGGGCGAACGGACCCGATGCCGTGATTTTTAGATTTAAAAATTGTTCGACTTTCAAACCCATTTGATAATATAATATTGGGGTATATTGTATTGCCCAACCTCTATACACCCATCTCTCGATAAATGATCGTGAAAGCTTTCAAGATTACAGTTCACAGATTGGGATTTGCTGAAACTTGGTATGCACCTGTTTATTGAGATATTGGGTGAGTGGCAACAGAAGCAACATAGACTAAAATTACTAGTACTTTAATTGCTTTTTGAAATTTTATTCCTATATTTATAAAATACTTTGTTATTTCACAAAACTTGACATAGTTAGCCAATCAAGTAAAAGAAATCGTTCATCTTAAACTAATCCATGTTCTATCAAAGAGTTAATTGGTGGATGTTGTGATTTTATTGACCTATTTTGGATGAAAGCACAATTGTGACTGTCTTCCCGCCACGTTGATGTCCCTATGAAGCAAATATTTTCATCGCATAGAAAATCCGATGCACCTATCCAATTTACAATTTCGTAAGTCAATGTTCACATGACGACTTAAATTAATGGTGTTGGCAAGAACACTGGAGACATTGTTGATAATTCAAGATCGAAACAACGACAACGCTGTGCCTGTGAATTTTTGATCAGTACTGGACATATTGACTCGGGGTTTTGTTTGGTTTTAACGACTTACTAGTAATCGACCGTTGTTTTTTCTATGGACTCTGACGACTGAACAGTTGGTGAGGAATGAAGCACCATATCCTCTAGCTAGTTGTTGATGTACAGAATTGGCTAGGGCAGCATCCACAAGGCCAGCTTCTGGCTGATATAAGCTAACTACATCTTTATCAACTTTGAACTGTGGAAACTTCTTCTCTAACTGTTCTGCATTTAACTTTTCATACCTAAATACATGTATATCATTTGAATTGCTTTATGTTTTTTTTTAAAGTATGTTATCCAAGAAACAATATAAAGAGTGACGGAGCCAGGTGGTGTTGGTATCTAAGGTTGCCCGAATTTCTTACTTAGTTATGAGAGTCATGCCCGAAAAACTAGCATTCTGGGCTGCTCAATATGACAGACTGATTTCTGATATCATTTAATTGGTTCTGCCCGAGAACGTTGTCAATACTAGCCAGTTTATGATTTCTGTTTGTAGATATTTTCAGTATTTTACAGACTTGGCTTTACATTATCGATATTCGATAGCCTATAGATTACTATTTCGGACCATATTTGTTAAAAATATTTATATTTATTAAAAATATGGCGGTGTCGAAACAACGTAAGGTGTGGTAAAAAGAGACGAAAGTGTAATTCGCAATATAATGTTCGCAGACAGTTACACTTACATAGAAATTATTTCTAAATGAAATTTAAATCTTATTATAGACCACAGTTTTGATACAGATAAATTTGGTATACTGGCTGTCCAGACGTTTTGGGTAACTGCTTGTTTGTAATAGATTAATATACCTGATATTATGACTGTTCATGGCATCCTCATAGCATTGTAAGTCTACTTCACTAGGTTTGCTGATATCTAGTCCACCACATTTATACAGTACTTGAAGTCCAGATTCTTTTTCTATAGCTCCCCATCTATAAAAGATGGAAAAAGGCTGGTGTGTAACTTTCTTCGGTAAGTGGTGTCTTACCTTGAGGAGAATTCGATTCCATGACACTGTTTACATTTTATTTTAAACCGAAGGTTTAAAAGGTTTATGCTAAAGCCCTAATTTTCAAAGAGAGGGTTTACCTTGGGACCTCAAGCACAAATAGTACTATTCCATTATATCATTAAAAGACATCTTTCTTTCGTCGAACTTTACGTGTGTGAGGAGGGGGGGGGGGGGGTGAGCCGAAGGCCAAGGTTCCAAAGGACGAAATATGGTAAAATAATTGTACCAATGATAAAAAGCTAGGAAATTATTACTGCTGTTCTACCGACTCTTGAATTTTGAATCTGGATGTCTTTTTAAAGATCGAAATACCGCAGCACAATAATATAATAATCAATATGGTAATGAAGCAAAAACTTACGCTTGATAAGCTGGTCGAGTTAACTTGGTGTACTTTTCGTCATGATATGCCATGCGACTGAAATATAATAATTGTATACATTCATGTTTGACAGAATATGATTTATGTTTTCTGAGTTTTTATTAATTTTTACCTTTAATTACAAATGCCTTCATGGTGAAAAGAATCCGGTACCATGCCCTAACATTATAAGTTACCCCATAACACATTATTTGGAGCCTACTTGATTGTAAATTGTATTACTATCCTGATCATATTAGTTTTCTGTATTATAGTGTACTTACAAGATTCTGGAATGATCTTGTGAACCACCATTGTGATGTCCAAGTTCAAATTGCTCAATACCCAATACATCTGGAAAAAGAAAAGTTTTTTGTAGTACTATGAATTTCAAAGAAGCCCTGCAACTTCAGCAGATCTTGATTTAATTTGAAGAATTCTTGGTTTCTAGGTCATGAGAAGGTCAAGGTCACCTATTATCATCTTGGTATCATATGAAGATCATCAAAGATCAAGGTCATGATACTTCAAAATTGAATTTTGGTTATGCGCATGCCCGGTACCACCTTTCTTATTTAATGACCAAATGTCATCAAACTGTATATATAATCAAATTCGAAATTTAAAGGAAATATTTAATTTTTATTGTGCGCATATGCTTTACCAATTTTCTCATTTCTTATCAACATATCTGCGATTATAAAGGACCAGTTTTTTTTTTTAGATAAGTAATCCCTTCTTTCCCCTTTTAGAGTCCGCGGCAAAACAATGAATACAGGGTAGGGGGTTTTAGAAAAATGTTCATTCACGCTCGCCATCAGAAGGATTTGAAGCATTTCCGGATTTGTGGGTATTTGGTTATGGCTAGAAGCAGAACTATTATATGATTGAGGGGGTATCGCTTCAACATTGGTCTCCCCACCCTATACCATCCATACCAACCTAATCTTTACAAAGCAGCATTGAATGTCTACATTGTCGCTTTGCATTGCATTTTGGCAATCAAAAAAGTCTCAAAAAGTGGTGGGGACCAACCATATTGTGTCCCCAACACTACAAAAGGTGATACGTGCCGGTCCCTTTGTCCCTATCGCGACATGCGCCCATGCCCCTTATAACTCTATTTAGAATACAATAAAAATGGGAATATGTTGAATAATATGCACACCTTAGTTGAATAACTATTTATTAATAGTGACTTTACATAGCAACCACTTTATCTATTTTGAATATGAAAGAACATCTGTCAACACCCTAAGTGCGTCTCGCCCTCATGATAGCTAGAAGTCGACACGAAGCCCTAACTGTTTTGTAAAAAGGTAAACAAGCAATGGTGGCGACATTGTGAGGACAGGGAGGGGGCACTCCCCCCCCCCCCCCGCCCCCTAGAAAAATGGTTTGCAACCCCAATTGTATCCTAATTTTTTTTTACAACATTTTAAAATATAGAGTATAAAAATCATGTATCAGAATGCACCAAATCAGACTAGACAGTCCCCCTATTGAGTTTATCTGCCCCCTATTTACGTATGAATACAGAAAGTGTTCTAACGTATGTTCACACTACAAGCATTCGTGTTTTTGATCATTGAAGTTGTATAATATATCATTAAACCGTTTCGCATTTATCAACTGGGTCATTTATCGATCGGGTCAATAATGCGATCTACAAAATTAACTTTCCAAGCTTTAAGTTCAGCAACAAGTATTACAATTTGTTCTCTTTCAAAACATAAAGTAATTGATAAGAAAAATGTATTATATGTACATGTTAGGCAATGCAGGCCTAAGCACTTTTTCACAGTGAATTTCTCTTTTACTTCAACATATTTTCCTTTCAAGATTGCAAGAAACACATAACTTTACAGTCTCAGACTTTCAAAAAAATTGGTATTAAAATATTTATTCCGTTGAAAAGCATAATTAAACACATCTTACGGCGAAAAATATATGAAACTTTCTGGTTTCACCAAAAGTTTTTCATTGTTCGTTGCCATGCACATAGTAAAACCATTCTGTTTTCGTGTGATTGTGCATATCGTTATGTTCCGATATGCATATATGGAAATAATTAAAAAATGTATCATACCAAGCTCTGTAAACCAGAATACAACAGTAAAAATACCAGCCTCTCCAAGAAGTAGAACCAATCTTATAAAGTGGTTCAGAAAAAAATCATTTATTCGTAACAAAACACCACACTTTAAACAAAGGGTGAAGATATTGTATTCTGAAGATTAAGGAGCTTCCATGTAATTTTTCTTACCTGCATGTGCTTTTTTAGCCAACCAATAAACAGTGGCACTTCCAATTCCACCACATCCTGCGACAATATAATCAAAATGTGTTTTGTTCGTATCACACCACGTACGCCTGCTTTCCATGGCAGATTTTTCTTAATGCATACTGGTGACCTAGTTATTTTATTACATAAACGTGCAGTATAACGAAAATAGATTCTCGAAGAAACACTTCTCAATGTATCTCTCGAACAAAGATCTGCTTTGATTAAATTAATATGCTGTGGGAAGAGAAATATCTATTAAAGGCATGTTATCATTTGAAATGACCTTAGATCGACCTATTTACCAAGTGTCATCGACCGGTCTCAATTCTCCCATGCATAACGATTACATTATCATCGACATAATTATGCTTGTTGTACATTAAATGGACCGTAAAGAGGTTTTCTAATATATTGTGTATTGGGAAGAGTGATAGCATCAATCTGCACCACTGCATTTTTCGATCAAACTTCAGTGATTCCTGCAATTCCACTAAAAGTGTTTGATGACGTCACTAATCGCGAAGGGCCTTATGCATAGAGTTATAAATAGAATGTTATTATATACATCTTCTTTCCTATTGATTTTGAGTCATTGTTCATCATGTTAATACAACTTATAAATGAATTCTTTCCGATATGGTTGTATATTAGTAGAACCAGTGTAGAACCACAGAAATCTGTTGCTATCTATTGGTTTTTCAGAAATGATATTGTCTTTAAGTTATGTACAGGTGTAATGTCAACTGATAAAAGTCCAACTTCAGATGACCATGGTGACTTTTCAGATGTTTTTTCATGTGAGAGTGTCAAGTCATGGTTCGTTATTACTTTTTTTTCCATGTGGATAATTTCAATTGAGTCACACCAGTAGTTACAACAATAAAGTTTAGACGACTCTTTATGTTATGTATCATTAATATTTTGTAATCAGACACGTCCTTACCTAAATGTGATTTTGCTAACGTTATTCATATTAACCACAGTGTAATAGAAGACCTTCTTTGGGGTTTGTAAAGTTAGTAAGTAGTTAGAATCTTATTGTTGACCCCACTGTCCCCTTGATCCCGTTCTATTTCCACACAAAAACAATAAGAAAACACCGAAAATATTCCTGCCCAGCGACAGCAACGCTCGTGTAATCTAAATCCCACCCTGGGGCCCACTTCACAGGGGCCTCTTACGAACATGCTGGATAATGCTGGATTAAGATTTGGGACTCGTTTTGAACATTGTACATACGAGACTGTGAAGGGTTAGAAATTACCTACTAAACTACAACTAGAAAATATTTTGAGAGGCCTGGATGCAACATTGAAATATATATATTATTCCTATAGTTGAGCCATATTCCCCACAGAATACAGAGAAAACTCTGGGCATGTATTCTCGAAACGATCTTAGCGCTAGGAATACGTGACCTGGTTAACTCACTACAATCCTATGGAACAACATACAGTAAGAACTATTAAACTTATATGAGCTAGGAACCAAACATCCATTATCTTACCAAGAATAATAAGAGGGATATTAAAATCAGCTGAATGCTTTGATGGAATATTTTGAAAATCGAATTAACCTAATGATGTTGGTAGACAACGAGTACTCCTTTAATGAAAATATGTTAAATTTTACATCACGATGTTTCATAGAAATTAAAATATTACTGTTCATTTGGTGTCAATACCAATAAGTAAGATTGGTCATAACTCTTTGTAGAAGTGTATCACCATAAAAAACAACAACCTAAACATTTTAAAAGTACCTCCACTAAAACCATGTCCAAAACTGCTATAAATAGTATTGTATCTAAAGATACTATAGTGAAAAAAAGTATATATATGATGACCTGAAAAATGCAATAGACTTTCAAACTTTAAACAATGCCATTAAAAGCGACGAAATAAACAACATTTCAGTAAAATATTAGATACCATCCTGAAGTAGATCAACAAGGTTGAAAAATGAAAATGAATAAATATGTACATGTATCGTCTACAATAAAACGGACCAACTCATCAAATAATTCTTATGTGTGATAATAAACAGTACAGCAAAGAGTATAGATACAGAGTACAGAGGACATGTTACACCTTAGTCTGAAACACCAATTTGTCCTAAGGTTCAAAAGTAGTCAGGTTATTGTAAATTAGTGGTGGGTCTGAAATCAGCCTTTAGTAACATGTTAGGGTTAAGACCAAAACTTTGACAATGCGAAACCATTAGGCAAACCTGGTCTATTATGATGTAAAAGCCCATTATTGGCCGAACTATCCTGCTAAGAACAGCTCTGTAGCACCTACAGTCGCCCTGTGGTAGCTCTTTGAAAAATATTACCCCACTTAATAGTCCCGATTTGGCGGTCATCTTTAGTCATTTTGAATAAAACCTATTGAAAGTGGTGCTGTCAGGCTTCAACTCCATTTCATTTCATTTCCTGTTTGCATTATAAAATGAGCAGGCCCAATAGGAAAATCCAGGTTATAACAAACCCCACGATCAAATTATATGACATCTTATAACAAAGTAATCCTTAATATTATAAACATAATCAATCATCGAAGACGATGATTAAATTCTTCTTGATGATTTTGACAATATTCCAGCGAACATACCTAAAAGTAAGGGTTGGAAATTGGGTTTTATCATAAACAAACGAAAAGATATTGAATAAGATTGTTAAGGGATTTGGGAAAAAAAGAGTATTTTGTTTTTGTTTCTTTTTTAGTAGATCTGGATGGTCTGTTAAAGCAGCTGTAACATAGAAATAACATACATAGAAACAAAGAAATGTCGAGAAATGTCGGGTATTTCTATGTTAAGAATGCTGGGAAGTTTAATTGGTTTAGACAACTTTAGAAAGGGTCTTCAGGTATCAACTTTACACTTAGTTTAGTTTAAGAATACTTCTAGAAATCTATGGAAGGCGGAATTGCTTTTTATTCAATGTTCTTCATTGCTATTTCTTAATTCTTAATTATAAATTCTTATCTCTTAATGTTCACGCTTAATTCAACATTTGTTGTTGAAAATTAACATTGGTATACAAAAATCATAATTTGTACTGAAAATGAACATTCTTCGATAGACATTAGATTTTCCAATTATTGAATTTATAGAATTCTTGCCAAAAATATCATCAAATACAAATCTACAAATACAGATCTAGCTCAACAAATCTTAGAAACATTTTACCAAATACATGCCGAATATATTTGAAGGGCATGATTATTACGATAGGTGTCGCTGTACAACCAATATAAAATAAGATATAGACCATAGATAACCTCTGTATCCCAGTTCAATTTTGAACGCAAAATATCTTCCGTTGTTCCTTAAATGGAAACATCTATTTCCCCGACACCAATTATTTTAGCCAATAGAAAACCAATATTTTTGGTTTCGGGAAGGGAGTGTTTGATAAATTTTATGACTATATTTGCAAAATTTGAACATTCTTAATTACGTGTATAATTTTTTCTTCAATGGATATCACTATGAATGGTTTATCAGTTAATTACAGTCGTTATTCATTTGGTTTTAGGTATATCAGATGGGTTTTTGAAAAAAAAACAATCGACAAGATGTCCAACATGTCTTTGGTTATTATATTAAATCAAGAATGGTGGCCTTAGATTTTGTGTTAAGTAAGTGGCAAGATTTGAATAGAAGGTAAGGAACTACCTTTTGTACACAACTGAGTATTAGCTTTTAAAGTTTCAACCCGCTTAAATGTCCCAAGTCGGCGGCCATCTTTAGTCATTTTGGTCAAGAAATTTCTCAAAAAATTTGTTTCTCTGTTTCGGCTAAATTGGAACTTGGGGGCCCCAGGGATGGTAGATATTCGATTCAAAGTAATTTCGAGCGTTTTGGTGGAAAACTAGAGGCGAAAAACTGGTCCAAATTAAGCCATTTTCGCGACAACCCCGACTTTGAGGGGCTGTAACTCTCCAAGCGTATCCAATAGACATAGCTGGTCTATTATGACGTAAAGGCCTATTGTTGGCCTAACTACCCTGCAAAGCACAGCTCTGTAGCACCTACCGTCTGCCTACGGTAGCTGTTTTTCAAAGTTTCACCCTGCTTAATTGTCCCAGTCGGCGGCCATCTTTAGTCATTTTGGTCAAGAAATTTCTCGAAAAATTTGTTTCTCTGTTTTGGCTAAATTGGAACTTGGGTGCCCCAGAGATGGTAGAAATTCGATTCAAAGTTATTTCGAGCGTTTTGGTGGAAAACTAGAGGCGAAAAACTGGTCCAAATTAAGCCATTTTTGCGACAACAGTAGTATATGTCTTTTCGGATATGACGCATTTCACTTCTGCGCATGCGCAGCTTTTTCAATGCGTCATATCCGAAAAGACACAACTGTTAAAATGTATTATAACACGCTCCCGAAACTGTTAAAATGTATTATAACAGACTCCCCAAACTGTATTAGAACAGACTCCTCCAAACTGTATTATAACAAACTCCCCAATTATAAATTACCCAAACCACAGATCACTAATAATAATACAGTAAAAAATAACCGCATTAAAAATGTCTTTAATTTTAAAACACGAACAAAAAAAATTCGAAGGAGACGGTTTCTTCTCTGCGCTAACATCTCTCATCCCCAAAGTGGCCAATTTTGTCTCAAACAACAAATTTCCTCAGGAGTAGATATAAGCGATGCAGTGAAAAGATCTAACGAGTTGAAAGAATTACAAAGTATAAGAGAAATGCGAAATAAAAATTATTGGATAAAAACCTCAACTGATTAATGGGAGGTAACACTGTTTATACACAGTTAGTTGTCTAGAGTATTATTGATTTAACACCTAGTAACAGTCACGCTATAATTATCACGCGTGCAACCTCAGCACAGACAGTCTAGACTCTCAACTGTTAGCCATGTTTTTGTTGAAGATTAGGAATTTAATCATACAAAAATCAAGGTATGTTCTTTTTTTGTTTGATTTAATCATAAGACGACAGGGTGGAATTAAGATTAATTTGCTGTTTTTTTCGAAATATCAATTTTTGTTTTATTCCAGTCACAAGTTTTATTAGATGCCAACATTTCATATCACGAAGAATATTTAAACCATCGGTAAGGGG